AGTGAGTTAAAATCACTTTTCACCAAAATCCATGGAGCTGATGGTGGCCAGAGGCTTCTCATTGACTCATGAGTTGGTGGAAACCTCCTGAATTAGGATGAGATTTAAAAAAAACCAGAATTTGGCGATTTTATCAGAGGGACTTTGAGATAACCTTTGGTTTTCCTTTTTTCCTTCTAAATATATCCCTGAAAAAGACCAATGATCAGCCCCGGACTGTTTCTCCTCCTGAACTTGGCACGATCAGTTGTGTTGGCTGCTTTTCTTTGAAATTTAGAATTCATTCAGAGGGTTTTTCTGCAACAAGCAACATCTTATTTAAATGAAACTAATAAAGCACTGGAGCAGCTTCTATTGCAACTGTTCGTCTCCTAATTAAAGATTAGTTCTGTCAAGCAAGCAGTTTTTGGCTGTTCTCTTCTGCACGGGTTTCACAACATTTCTTACTCATCTGGGCACAAGTTGGAGTAATTTCTTCTTGCACACAGGATTCATTTCAGGCATGTGAGCAGTCCTGGAACTAAAGTTAGGCACATGAATAAATATTTCCAAGGTTGAGGCCCTTGTCTGAATCTAAATATTTTTCTCTTTGATCAGCTTTGGAGATAGCATATACTTGAATTCTGGTAATATTTTAGTAGGGGAGGAAAAAAAAAAACCAACAAAAAAAACCCCAACATGGTTATCTGGATGCTGTGCTATTTATGGTCAGCTATATTTTCAACCTCCCAAGCTAGAATGGAATGCTTTGTACTGCTGGAAGCTGGGAATCCTCCCTGCTCTCCTATTTTTTGACACATTAAGTCTTCAAATCACCTTTTTCTGCTTGGTTTCAAGGTGGTTATTAGGCACTGGTGGTGAATATGTGTGAGCTAACCTGAAATCCAATGTTTAATCCATGCTGTTATTACTTGTAGGTGTATATTCCTCACTTAAATAGATTTTCCTAATGCAGCATGACTAAGAAAACACACTTTTAGTCATTTGATGCATTTAAATGACTCAAATTATTCGGACCCAGCATTTTAAAAACAAAATCTGCCTTGGCTTTTAATTGGTGCTGGTGTTTGGGAGAGTGGAACAACTCGTTTGAAAATGTGCTGATGTTCATCAGTTATCAGACAAAATGTCTACAGGGTTTTTATCGTGGAGCCTAAACTTGCCAGCTCCTTTTGGAATTGAGGCTCCAGCTGTTCACCACACCCTGCTCTGCCTTCTTGCTGCTGTTTACAGTAGGAGGTGAAATATATTTTAATTTGGATTATGTTGTGCTGGGTGCTGTAACACGGTGAGGGGATTTTCAGGGCTGCTTTCAAATTTAATATAATTTCCAAGTGAAGATCAGTTGTAGTGAAACACAGATAAACTCCTGGGAGCTCCTCTGTGATCTTTGATTGGATTTCATCCATTTTTACTCTGCTTCCTGCTGTAGTGGCACAGTGTTTGGGAAGTGAGGAATGTCTTCCAGGTGGTGTTCAGGCAGGGAAATGGGAGAAGGGAGAATGGGGTACTGAATGCTCCCAGCAAGGATCAGTGTTGTAGCCTCAGCTCAGCTGAGTCTTCCACCAGAAATTTCTGTGATTTCCTAACTCGTGCCCAGGAATGATTTCAGATCCAGGAGAGGAGGTTCTTTGGGGGCTGGAGAGCTTCACCTTCAGCCTGGCTGGACAAAGCCCATCCTTTTCCCACTCCAGTGATTTTAGGGAATACCTGTGAAGCAAAGCAAAGGCAGGAGAGGGTGGGGAGTGGTGGTTGTGCAGCACCCAGAGATTGTGCTGGGATCATCTGCTGCCTCCTTCCCTGCTTCCCAGCCTGTCCCTGCTTCCATTCCTGCTCCCCAGCCTGTCCCTGTGTCCATCCCTGCTCCCAGCCTGTCCCTGTGTCCATCCCTGCTCCCAACCTTTCCCTGTGTCCATCCCTGCTCCCAGCCTGTTCGTCTGTCCATCCCTGCTCCCAGCCTGTCCCTGTGTCCATCCCTGCTCCCAGCCTGTCCCTGTGTCCATCCCTGCTCCCAGCCTGTCCCTGTGTCCATCCCTGCTCCCAGCCTGTCCGTCTGTCCATCCCTGCTTGCTTGGCACCAGAAGGAACCTCAGGAAGCTGCTGGGTGTCCAAAGGGCTCCAGCGCTGCCTGGGGTGGGGGGCACAGCCCTGGAATGGGGTCCGTGCCCAGGGAGGAGGATTCCCCAGAGCCAGCTGGATCCTGACCCCTTGTACCATCCAGCTGTGAGCACAGCTGTGGATTAGGAGCAGGGGATTTTGGCTCCCACCCCACAGGAATTTGATATTCGCCGGTAACGTCAAAGCACTGAAAAAAATTCCGGTGTTTTCAGCGCTGCTTTGTTTACAAAATCTTTAAAGTTCCTTCCTAAATAATTAATCACCAGCCCAGTATAATAAGCAGAAAGGTTTTACACAGCTTTTAGATCTGGAAAATAGACATTAGTGTTTCATAGATAATAAAGAGCCCTGAACCAGCCCAAAGGTCCAGCAGTGAACTCACTTTGTGTTATCCACGGGCTCTGCCTGATGCTGCAGCAGCAGAGCCTGCAGTTCTGGGTGCTGATAAGAACCTCTGGAGGATAAAGTTTGTCACTAAAATGCTTCATTAAAGTACTTAGCAGTGGTGTTAGGGTTTTTAATGCAGCTCAGAAGTTCAAATGCATCAGATAAAAAAATGGGTGTAATTAATCCTAAGCATCTTCTCCTATTTTTTCCTGGATTCCTTTTTTTTTTTTCTCTTTTCTGCTTTTCAGTGAAACACTTGATTGCTGCTGCATCTGCTGGCTGCTCAGGCAGATTTCAGGCAGGGTTAGATTGGCCTGAGATGACTTTTGTTTGCTTTCCTTTGGGATTCAAGCTGTCTGTCCTGCACTGAGTCCTCCTTCCCTGCCTGAAATGGGGAACTGGGGGATGGGATGCTAAAGAGATGTGGCTTTGCAGGTAGAGCAGAACGAGGAGAGGATGTTTCTTATTTGAATCAGAGTGGATTTCCCAGGCTTTTAAGATTAAAATAGAGCTTTTGGGGGCAGGAGGAAGGAGGATTACTACTTCTTGCCTTTAATTAATTAACTTTTTGCTGTTTATGCAATCACAGGCCCTATCTACCCCCTTAATTTGGAAGCTGCTGTTGTAGTTCAGCTAAATTCAATGCTCTTATCTGAAAGATGGCAAATGTCTTGCTGTGAATAATCATTTTCAGGAACAGGCAGACAACATTTTAATTTCCCTTGCCTAATGTGTCATCAGATGCTCGTTGTGGAGTTCCATATTAGTGCATGTTTGCACAGGGGCTTGGCATGTGGGAGCTGGCCAGTTTTGGGTGTTTCCACACTTGATGGCACAGCTCTTGCTCCAAGAGAGGGCTTAGGCTGGCTCTGTGCAGCCACTCAGGGTTTTCAGTAATGGGGAGGGAGCTACTGGAGCTTTAGGACTGGGATTTTCCTGCCTGGGCCACTCCAGGTGGAGTTATGGAGGGGAGGAGGTGACAAGAGGAGCATTTGGGGCAGTTTTGTGCTGCCAGTCAAGGAATCTTGGTTGGAATGGTCTGGCAAGCTCTGGGAGAATGGTTTGGTTCTGGGATGGGGCTGTTGCTCAGCTCACAGAAGTGCAGGGCTGGGGACTCCAGACCCTTCTGGGCAGCCCCTCCCAGTGTCCAGCAACCCTTTCCATGGAGAAATTCCTGTTGCTGCCCTGCCTGAGGCCCTGTATTATTCACCCTTATGCCAAATGTTCTACTTTTCACTCATCTGGGAGAAGATTCCAAACCCCCCTTGGCTCCAGCCTCCTTTCACCTGAGCCTGGCTTTGGAGCTGTTCATAGAATGTAGAGATTTAGAGAATTTAGATTTAGAGAATTCACAGAATCACAGAATTAATTCACAGAATCACAGAACTCACAGAATTTAAATAATTTACAGAATTCACTGAATGACCAGGTTGGAAGAGACCTCCAAGCCCATCGAGTCCAGCCCAGCCCCAGCAGCTCAGCTCAACCCTGGCCCCCAGTGCCACATCCAGGCTTTGTTAAACACCCCCAGGGATGGTGACTGCACCACCTCCCTGGGCAGAACATTCCAGAACTTCATCACCTTTTTGGAAAAAACTTTTTCCTGCTATCCAGCCTGTGTTTCCCTTGGTGCAGCTGGAGGCTGTGTGCTCTGGTTGTGTCAGTGCTGCTGTTCCTTGTCCCTCTCCTGTTGTCCTTTTCTAATCCAGACTTGGGGACTGTTGGTCATTAAGAAATCAGTGTGTTTCAACTAAAAACATAAAATAAAATTTGAAATTAAAAGGTCATTTCTTGCCCTGGTCACCTCTGTGGTGTTCGAGTTGTGTGGGGTTGAATTTCTTCCCTTTAATCCCTCACCCCAGCACTTCCTGAAAAATGTATATAAATAGGAGAAAATGCATGAAGAAGAATTATTTTATATGTAGGGGAAATGATCAGCTATAAACCACCTGCAGAGCCTTCATTTAGAACCAAAAGTGATTTAAGTTACCTGTCCTTACCTTACACAGCTCTAAATGTGTGTTTTTCCTTCCTAGTGAAGGATCTAAAACATAAATGGAGTAGGAGTGGAGCTGACTTGTGAGTCTGAGAAGGAAATAGTTTTGTTTTATGAGAGTAAAAGTTTTGGGGCCTCGAGCTGGATGGCACCACCTGGTTCTGTCAGGAATTCAAGGGAAAAAAAGTCCTGGATTCATAAATCCCGTGTTTTCCTCTGTTAAAAATACAAATGTGTTTTGTTCTCCCTTCAGCTTTGGATGTGTTGCCTTTGTTATCTGTATGTAAAATACTACTTGGAATAGGTAATTTAATTTCAACTTTGGTGCATTTGTCTCGAAGATGTCAAGTTCAGGGAGTTCCATGAAAATAGAGATGATTTTTTGTGAAGGTACCAGAGAAGTGTAAAATAACTGTTTGTATTAAGCACTAATGTTGATATAAAACCTAATAGTGACAAATAAGAGTTCATTAAACTTCTTTTTTTTTTTTCTTTTCAGGTTTCCTCTCAAAAAACCTTCGAGGTGAGCTCCTGAAATTTGCTTTTTTGTCTGTATTATAAATTATACTGCAACATTTTTGCAGGGGGAATGCTTTTAAAAGTTTAAAAATATATATATACACAGACACAGCTCGTAGCACCCATTACAGATGTGAGGAAATATCCAGATGGGGATAAGGTGCCAAAAATAGATTTATTGGTGGTGTCCTTGGCATGGGGTGACCATTTGCACTCTGTGACATGGCTGGGGCTCATCTTACCTGGGATTTGAGATGGTCAGAGAAGGAAGGGGACACTGCTGCTACAGGTGCTTCCCTTCTGGGGAGATCCTAAATCTTTAATTTTGGCATGCTGAAATATTTAAAGTTTGCTGGGAGAGTTAAGATTTCAGGAAGGTTTTTTCCATTAAATTTATTTGGTTTTTAAGATAAAATATGGGTTGATGCTGAGTGATAAAGAGAATGCACTTGCTGTTACCAATTCTGGAGGTTACCAGGACTGTTCTGGAGCCTTGGATCCACTCCCAGAGATTGCAAGGGAGATCATTTTCCTCTTTGAATTCAGCCTGGGAATAAATTTTTTAAGGGAACTCGATGCCTACGCTTTAATCTGAATTTCTGGTGAGCAGGCAGAGCTGGGTGAGGGTTTTGTGAGCACTCAGGCAGCTCCTGTGGGCTCTGGTGTGAGGACATTTTGCTTTTCTGTGCCCCAGACACGGCAGCATTCTGAGCAGAGAGTCTCCAGCAGACAAGAAGCAGAAGGTTGAACGCTGCAGCAGCACCCACGACTTCGATCCCACAGGTAAAGTCCCAACATTCAAGGGAAAAAAGCCAAACAAAAGCACTGGGAAGTCGATTAAAAATGATTTTAATGTGGTTTTCAGAGCTGGGTTGTTCTGCAAAGGCAGTGTGGGCATTGAAATGAATGTGGGCTTGATTTTAAACACCCTCATCCTCAACCTGGATTAGTGTATCAGTAAATAATTACAACAACTTCCACTTTCAGCAAAGTCAGGAGGCAAAGGCTGTAATTAGCTGTGAGGAGTTCTTTAGTGAAGTCTGAAACTGGAGATGTGGTTGGCCCAGCCAGGGCTGGGTTTCCCTGCTGGGGTTTTAATTTTGGGGGGTTTCTTTTGTTCTTTAGTCGATTTTGATCCCTCTTTACCCCTTGCAAAGTGAATTTGTGCTTCCCAAGGTGAAGCATTTGAAGATAAAAACTTAATTTTAAACTATTTGCTGTCCTACTTTGATTCAGCCAGCTTTTATTTTAGTTAAATTAGGGAGATGAGGGTGCACCCAGCATTCTTGTTCTCTCTGGAGCTCTCCCCCAGTGCCTGCTCATGAAATTCCTGCCAGGCTGCTGTCTGAGCCTCCTGGCCCCATGCAAGGTGCATTTTTCCTGTCTGTGCATTCAGGCTTTCCCTGGGGCTTGGGGAGCACAGGGGAGGGGGGCACAACTTGTAGGATGTGGGGTTATTTATAAACCATCCTGGTCATGGTTTCTGCTAATGGCTGCATGAATCCTTCTAGTGTGCACAAAATAAATGAAAAAGGGCTTTAAATGCCCATTTACTGGGGAAAAAAGTGGTTTTAGTGCTTGTCTTCTTTTCCTTTGTCCTTTGGGACAGGTAATGTAAAATTATTTCAGGTTGAGGGAGCTCTCAGGCTGTGAACTCATTTTGTGGAAGGAATTTAATTTCTCCAGAAACAGACTTGAGGAATCCTGTAATCTTAATTTGCAGAGAGTCACTCCAGAGTTGAGAGCTGTTACCTGCTTTGATAGGGGAACTGCACTGCAGTCTGCAGAAAACCCTTTTCTTTTATTTAAGGGGTGAATTCAGGATGCTGAGCTGCTGTGCCTGTGCTGGTTATTGACTCTGGGGAGGAACACTGCCAGAGTCTCCGTGCTTGGACTGGTTTTTATCTGTAGTTACTGCAGAGAGCTCCTCTGGTCGTGTCCTAGCTCCTGTAACAGATTCTGTGTGCTGTTACCTGTGTCTCCTTGTATTATTCACCCTTATTCCAAATGTTCCACCTGTGTTTTGTTCACATCTTATTTGTGTTTTGCACGATTTAACCCGATAAATCCGAGTCTGTGTTTTTTTTTCATGAAGTTTTTTTTTTTTTTCCTCATGTTTGGTCTCCATATTTTCTATATCTCTCTCTCCTTCTCTCCTGCTCTCGTGCAGATAGCTCCTCCAAGAAGACAAAGTCTAGTTCTGAGGAGAGTAGATCCGAGACGTATGGTAAGCCAAAGCTGCAGCCTCCCCCTGGGCAGCTCCTGCTTTTCCTGTCTGTGAATCCCAGGCTTTTCCCCCTCCCCTGATCTGCATGGTTGGCTCTGCAGCAGGGACTGCCCTTCCATCCCGCTTCAGTTCCCAGCTTGTAGTGTCCTAGTGGCTGGAAAATGTTAATTTTGGCACCTGTGGAGGTGTCACAGCCGGGCTGAGCCCTGTGACCATCGGAGCTGTTCCTCCTGCCAGGGCTGAAGGAGGCCCTGCACCAGGCCAGGGTGGCTGTGCTGCCCTCAGGCCCTGGGCAGAAGCAGGGACAGGGTTTTGAGCTGACTTTAAGGGGTTTCACTCAAGCATTCAGCAGGGTTTTGCTTCCACCCTGCTTCAGTTCCCAGTTTCTAGCACGCCAGTGGCTGGAAAATGTTAAATGTGGCACCTGTGGAGGTGTCACAGCCGGGCTGAGCCCTGTGACCATCTGAGCTGTTCCTCCTGCCGGGTGAGCAGGGCCACCAGGCCGGGGTGGCTGTGCTGCCCTCAGGCCCTGGGCAGAAGCCTGGACAGGGTTTTGAGCTGTTTTTAAGGGGTTTGATTCCAGCATTCAGCAGGGTTTTCCTCAGCCTGGAAAGGCCCTGCAGCCCAGGAACAGCCAGAGCTGGCCTTCCATCCTGCTTCAGTTCCCAGCTTGTAGTGTCCTAGTGGCTGGAAAATGTTAATTCTGGCTCTTGTGGAGGTGTCACAGCCGGGCTGAGCCCTGTGACCATCTGAGCTGTTCCTCCTGCCAGGTGAGCAGGGCCACCAGGCCGGGGTGGCTGTGCTGCCCTCAGGCCCTGGGGCAGAAGCCTGGACAGGGTTTTGAGCTGTTTTTAAGGGGTTTGATTCCAGCATTCAGCAGGGTTTTCCTCAGCCTGGAAAGGCCCTGCAGCCCAGGAACAGCCAGAGCTGCCCTTCCATCCTGCTTCAGTTCCCAGCTTGTAGTGTCCTAGTGGCTGGAAAATGTTAATTTTGGCACCTGTGGAGGTGTCACTGGGTGCTCCTGGCAGGGAGGGCACAGCTCCCAAAGGGGTTTGTGCTTGTGGAAAAGTCTGGGCCATATTCTCACTCGTATTCATCTTGGCTGTATTGTTTGTAGGTGTTCTCTGTCAGTTCCTTTTGACAGAAATGGAAAAATGTGTCTGTGAATAATTTAAATGAGTGGAAGGATGTGAACTTACTCTCTGTCCCAGAGAGAGGGAGTGACCCTGCACTCCTGGGCTTGTTGGCTGCAATAAATGGCAGTGACAAGTTTGGGAAGGGAATGTCCCCACCCATCCTGGTGCTGTCCCTGCACCACGAGGGGCCTGTGTGCTCCCTCAGCTTTGCCAGCTGGGTCACTCTTGGGGCTGTGAAATCCCCCTGCTCTAGGGACTTACTCCACTCTTCTCTGGAGATATTTGCATTCAGACCTTAGAATCTAGAAGGATTTACAAGTTTTTTTTTGGATCCTATCAGCCCCTTGGACTTGGGCTGAATCCGGCTGCACTCCTTATTTCCAAGACTTATTTCCATGACTCCAGCCACAGGTTGCCTTTCTATTCGTTTTTTTTTTATTTATTTATTTCATGTTGAAAGCAATCTGTGACACTTTCTGATTTTAATCTGTTCAGAAAATTGCTGCTGTGGGATTTTGGATGCAGTGACTCTTCCAGAATCATCAGCTTTATCATTCCACTGGAATAAAACTGCCAGGTGTTCATGGCTGTGCTCCAGCTCCTTAACCCACCTCTGGAATACAAAGTGATGCTGTCAGAGCAAGAAACACTAAAAAATAACCAAACAACAACAACCCTGAAGAGTTTAAGCCAACACAGGCATGTTAGGAAAAGCTGGTGCAGTCTGGGGCGGTGTGTCCTGTTCTTTCTGTGAGATCTCTTCGTTTCCCCTGGAATTTTGAATCACACACTTCTTTTTTTTCTAAAAAAAAAAGGCAAAAAAAAAAAGCAAAGTAATATGATAGTCACGTTCCTCAGGGTGTGAGAGTGTTCCTTCAGGAGCTGTAAACACCTTTGGAGGGTGTCTTGATGGAAACCTGTCTCGGGGAGAGCTGGCTTGCTGCAGCTTGTCATTCCTGCTGCCACCCTCCCAGGGAGCAGCAGGGATTTGGGGCTGATTTTGTGGGTTTGGAGCCAGCTTAGCCAGGATCACCAGACCCCTGTGCTCAGTTTTGCCTGGTGCAGTGGGTTAATGACAGGAAACATTTGCTGGGACATCTCTGTGTTTATCCCTCTTCCCCAGCCTGGCAGTAGCCAGAAACAAACAGAACTTCCTCAGGTGAGCTCTGCCTTCCCAGATTCAAACAAAACTTCCTAAGGTGAGCTCTGCCTTCCCAGATTCAAACAAAACTTCCTATGGTGAGCTCTGACTTCCCACAAACAGAGCTTCCCAAGGTGAACTCTGACTTCCTATAAACAAACAGAACTTCTTCATGTGAGCTCTGCCTTCCCACAAAGGAACAGAACTTCCTCATGTGAGCTCTGACTTCTCAGATACAAACACAACTTCCCAAGGTGAGCTCTGCCTTCCCAGAAACAAACACAACTTCCCAAGGTGAGCTCTGACATCCCAGATAAAACCAGAACTTCCCAAGGTGAGCTCTGCCTTCCCAGAAACAAACAAAACTTCCTAAGGTGAGCTCTGAGATCCCAGATAAAACCAGAACTTCCCAAGGTGAGCTCTGCCTACCCAGAAACAAACACAACTTCCCAAGGTGAGCTCTGATTTCCCACAAACAAACAGAACTTCCTAATGTGAGCTCTGACTTCCCAGAACCAAATACAACTTCCTGAGGTGAGCTCTTGACTTCCCACAAACAGAACTTCCTAATGTGAGCTCTGTCTTCCCAGATAAAACCAGAACTTCCCAAAGTGAGCTCTGCCTTCCCAGATAAAACCAGAACTTCCCAAAGTGAGCTCTGCCTTCCCAGATACAAGCAGAACTTCCTCCTGTGAGCTCTGCCTCCCCCCAGCTTCCTGCAGATGCTGTCCCCGTGCCCAGGATCCCTGGGAGCAGCTCCCACTCATCCTTCCTTCCTTCCCAGTGGCCTTGCCCTGCCTTTTGTCTGCTTTCCCCAGGTTTCTCTGGAATGTGTGCAGAGCTCTGCTGTTTGCTTTGGAAGGCACCAAACTATTCCAAGCCCTCCAAGTAGAAATACTGTACTGATATTTTCCTCTCTGCTGACTGGATGGGGGCTGGCCACTGCAAAGGGAATAATAGGGAATGACAGCAGGAAGAGGAGGAGTGGCTTTGGTGGGTGTTTGTTCTCGCCTCTTGAAATTCTTAATTCAGGAGCCAGAATTTCCTGAAGTGTTTGAGGGCTTGGGGGGGCAGAGTGGCTCAGGGTGGGAAATTGTTCTAATGGACAGAAATGAACTGATAGTGACATGAAGCTCTCAGCTCTCCCTTTCATTCATAAACCCAACCATCTCACCTTTGTATATTCAGTGAAATTCAGATTATTAGAAGAGAGAATGAGTGTAGTTTGTTATGCTGCAATTTGCTAATTAGTGCCATGACCTCCCATTGTATTAAATATCTTCTTATCAATATAGCATTTTCATTTCTTAAATGAACTTAAAACTGAAATTACCTTTCAGGGTGGTAGGTGAGGCATTACTCTCCAAAATGATCTTCCTTTATGTTTATCAATCATCAATTTCTGGCCAGAATATTAGCCTGGACTTGACACAAACTCTTCCACATATTTTCTCCAACTTTGTGATAAGTTTTTGGTTCTTGTTTTGAAACTCCAGATTTGAGATATTTTGAAATTGAAACTTACTCTCCCTGGGTTTTTTTGTTTTTTTTTTGCAGTCCTTACCAGCATTGTGTCTTTATGTTGTGACCACCATTTTTCCAGAGAAATTTGCCTTTATAAAAGTTTTGTTTATCCTTGTGGAGCAGCATTTCTGACAAAATTTTATAGACAAAAAGCTCCCCAAATGAAACATTTGGCCACTCTCAAAACCCCAAGGGGTTTGGCTTTTTGTTTATGGAATGATTCATTTCAAATCCCTCTGTTAAACTGCATTTTCCTATGGTGGCCTCATGCCCCCAGGGGAGATTTTAGTTCCCAGATCTCAGCTCCTAGGCTTGGACTGGACTTGGGAGATGGAATTCACATCCCATGGAATCCTAGGCTGCTTTGGGGTGGAAGAATCCTTAAAAATTATTTTCTTCCGTGGACAGGACACCTTCCACTATCCCAGGTTGCCCTCAGCCTCGTCCATCCTGGTCTCTCCATCTTCTCAGTCAGTTTTTTAGAGTGAACCCCTTCTCTGTTTGTTGCTAAAGAAATTCCTATATTGTTAACTAGCTTCCAAATAGGATGTAGGGAAGAGGAAAAGAAAAACGAGCTTCCCAGAGAAGCTGTGGGGCAGCCCAGATGTGTCTGGCCAGGCTGTTTGGGACAATTATTGTGGCCCTGGGGTGTCAGTGACCTTGAGAAGTCCAGGCTTTGTCCTTCCACCATCCCAAAGACGCTCTTGGAGCAGGGCTGGAGAAGGGAGAGGGACGAGTGCCACCTACTGAAGCTCCTCTCAGCTTTCCTTGCAGCTTTTCTCTGTGCTTTCACTTTTAATTTTAACCTCTTTAACCCCAGCACAGGTTTGGTTGCTTTCTTGTCCTCCTGGCTTGAGAGAATTCGGGGGAATTTTCATCTCCATGACGACAGAAAACATTAAAATTGATTATTTTTCCTCCAGAATTTTAGGACTCCGCTCCAGACACAAACAGAGACTGATTTTAAAGCATAGTTAAGTCATGTCTCTTCACTTCATAACATAAAGATGCTGTTAAGGAAAGCAAAAATGGGAATAAGATAATTAAGAATTTTATTTTGAGTACTATCAGTGATGAAATCTGATGACTTTGTAATTTTCAGCTGGAAAAAGTGAAAAATATCATGGGTGGGATATATCAAAATGAGCAGAGTAAAAGCAGGTGAAGGTTGCTTCAGGCAGGGAGTGCTATCAGAGCTGATCTAGTTCTGCAGGTCACAGTGTTATCTCCAGAAAACTTCCAGATAACTTCATTAAAATCACTATAAAGTGTATCTCTGTCAAGTGTGCTATCTCCTCTACCTCATTTCAGCCTTTTCTATTGGATTAGGAGAAGGATTAAGTGTCCCTTATCTGAAGAAAACAAGTACAGGAAAAAGCAATTATATACTAATTTCAGGTTGAGTTGTCCTAATTTCAATTGTTTCTCCATTCTAAATTTCTAAGGTGGTCTTGGGTGAAATTAAAGCTTGTGGACTGAAAGAATTTAACTTGAATAAACTTGAATTAAATTCACTTATACTCTGCCAGGTCAATTTATGTTACGTGGGCACTGCTTTGGCATCAGGAGAAAGTTTATCAGTAAATCCAAGGATTATTGCTTGTGGAGAAAAAGAAATCCAGTGGCAGAGCAGACTCAGGGCTCTCTGGTCTTTAACCAGGGCCAGTCTTTGTGAGTCCAAAGCTGAGTTTAGTGCCTTGCAGAGGAGCTGTTCCTCTGAAACAGCACCAATTCCCACACCCCAGCCCCGGGCAGCATTCTTGGGAAGTGAGACTTCAAGAAGCTTGGTCATATAAAAGAAGGGGAGGTGCAGGAGGGAGAGGCACCTTCCTCAGCTCTCCCTGTGCGCAGGGGGTGAAAGGTGGGGGGATTTTCCTTGCCATCCACTCCCCAGCCCTGCAAAGCAGGGATCCCGTGCTTTGCTCCTGCTTTGTTGGCAGGAGGGGAATTCCTGGGATGTGATGGTGCTGCAGAAGTCCTGGAATACTTTTTGCACTGCTCCCACACCCATTTCATCTGTGCCACGCTGGAGGAGGGCAGGACTGGCTGGGCAGGCATTGTTGGCTCTTGGGGCTGCTCATTTCCATGGGGAGTTGCTGCAGAGCAGTGAAAGGAGCCCTGGTGGTTTGGGAGCAGTGTGGGACAGGGGAATGACTCCCTGCTCTGGTACCATTCATACCTTAAAGCTCATTCCAGAAAAGCCAGTCTGGCTGGGACAGCATCTTCCCAATTCCCCGTGTTCCCTCCACACCAAACAAAACTGCTGCAGTTCTGCAGTCGGATTTGGGACAGCTCTGATTCCTTTCAGTGGTGCCAGTGTAGGAATTTTGCCTGCTGTGCCTTTAGAAATGGGAAAGCAAAGCAGCCTGGTAGAAATAAAGGTGATGGAAATCACCCTGGAAAGCATTTCCAGAGTTCCTGAAGGCACTTTTCAGGGTGAGGGCTCTGTTTTGGGAGGATTTCTGCAGCTGCTCCTAGGAAAGTGCTTGGCAAGGAATATGCCAGGGCTGCTGCTTGCTTGTGCTTTGTCTTTCCATTGTTCCATTTCCAGGGGAACAAAAGATATCCCCAGCATTCCACCTGGTCCAAATGCTGCACCTACTCAATGAATTTATCTCTGCATTTGTGTTCACATTATGCTGAGTATACCAGGAAACAAAACAAGTTGTCTTTGATGTCTCACAGCATATTAAAGGAGGGGCACATTCAAACTCATCTCCTGGGATTTTGGCCCTGGACTGGTCTTTATGTCAGAAATCCTGTTCAGGACAGTTAAATCAGTTAAATGTGGCTTGTACTTCTTCACCTCTGCTGTTCTGGCTCTGTGCAACATTTCACCTGGAGCAGAAGGTGGCCCAGGAGGAGATTTTGGCTGAGAATTGGGAGAACTTTCCCTGATCAATAAATCTGTTTTAGCCCAACCCCCTCTTTACTCTGAGGAATTTGTGCTTCTGTTTTAGAGCAGCCTGTAGAAGCTGTGAGGTGTTTCTGAACTATTAATGCAGACAAAAGCAATCCTGCTCATTGGTGTGGGTACTGCTGCTCTTCTTTAAAAGCTGCTTTTCCCTCAGGTTGTGTCTGATGTGCCAGAGCTGTCTGCATCTCTGTTTTGTGTAGCTGGAGCAATAAGCTTGACCTGTCCTGACATCCCTCTCCATTTCTGGACTGCTGCCCTGTTCCTGTCTCTCCTCTGTGCCGTGTTGTCCCCGTTCCTCTGAGTACTGTGTGATTATCTGGGAGGATAAGGTTTTGGACTGATGCCTGGCTTGTGTCTCTCTGTGTTGCCTTCCCTGTGGTGTCCCTGTGTCCCCAGGCCTGGTGCAGAGGTGTGTGGTGATCCAGCGGGATGAGAACGGCTTCGGGCTGACGGTCAGCGGGGACAACCCCGTCTTCGTGCAGTCTGTCAAGGAAGGTGAGAGCAGCCCCCAAACCTGCCAGCTTGCCGTGGCCATCCTGGAAATGGCTGTGAGCTGGAGCAGAGAACTCCCAGACTCCTGCCAGGTGGGCTGGCTGCAGCTTGGGAAGGGATGTGCAAGGTCGGGGTTGAGCAGTGAATTTATTCCTCTGAATCTTCAGTCACTGAGAAAACGAGAGGACACAGCCTTAAGCTGTGCCAGGGGAAGTTTGGGCTGGACATCAGGGAAAAATTCTTCACTGAAAGAGGGATTGGGCACTGGAATCACCTGCCCAGGGAGGGGATGGAGTCACCATCCCTGGAGGTGTTTAAAACAAGACTGGACGTGGCACTGGTGCCAAGGTTTGGGTGATGAGGAGGTGTCAGGTCACAGGATGGAGATCACTGGGTGATCTCAAAGGTCTTGTCCAAGCTGGTTTATTCTGGGATGTAGTGGGTTTGGAGCTGACCTCTTTGATCATTCTGTGGTGATCTCAAAGGTCTTTTCCATCCTGGTTCATTCTGGGGTCTGGTGGGTCTGGAGCTGCATCCTAGGGGAGGAAATGACTCCTTGGAACGTGGTGGGATCATGTCCTGGTGTATCCAGTGCAGGTGAAAGCAGAACTGCTCTAGACTCAACACCCAAAGATTTAGCTGACAGAGGAAGCTTGGCTGAGTGCAGGAGTATTTTGCATGTTTTACAGAAGTCTTAAAACCATTTTTGCTATAAATGATTGCATTGAAATGGGAACTGAGTGATTTCTTGCCTCTGCAGATGGAGCAGCCATGCGGGCTGGAGTGCAGACAGGTGATAGAATTATCAAGGTAAGGACATTGAAACTGGGAGAGAAATGGGTCCTTGGTCTTAAATGAGCTCTTTCTCTTAAAAAAACCCAAAAAGCATTGATGTGTCTGCTGTGGTGTTTGCATTAGGAATGGCTGAAGCTTCAGTGTTCTGGGGATGGCTCTCCTCCAGATCCTCATTTCAGAATTTTATGGACAAGTTCAGCATCCTGCCAGGCTCAAGGATCACAAATACAATAAAACCAGAAATGGCAGGGAAGAGAAGCAAGGCAGAGTTGTTAATAATGATCTGTAAATAAACTGCCTGCCTGAATTGTTGTTTTCCCCCTAACTGCTCCCACATCTGTGTTCTTTTTTAGTCCCAAGCAAGTAAGAAATCAAGTCAGTAACTTAAAAGACTCTGTAAACTATTGCTGCAAAATGCTACAGCAGCTCCTGACACAGATGGAGCTGGGATTTCAACCAGGCATTGAAATTAATGAATTAAATTAGCTACCCTGTTGTTTTTCTGCCCAGGCAGAGATGGATTGCCTTTTTTTTTTGTTGTTTGTCTGCCTGCTTGAGTTCTTTCGGTGTGTGCACAGTTTTCTTTTTGCAGAGTTCTGCTCACTGAGATAAACTGTTAGAAGGATAAATAATTTATCTGGTAATGTCTTGAAAGAGGCAGTAATGGAGATGGGGGAGAAGAAAATGCTGCTGTTCTTCTGGAATGTGTGGAATTGCTTGGAAAGCAGGAGGCAAACACTGAATTTTCTCTGCTCCCTGCCAGGTGAACGGGACTCTGGTAACACACTCGAACCATCTGGAGGTGGTCAAGCTGATCAAGTGTAAGTAAAGGCAGGTGGCCCTTGTGTCACCTTGAAAGTGTGACAGGCATCACTTCCAGGGCCCTGCCCAGTGACAAGGGTGAGGCCAGCACTGACAGATCAGGGGTGTGAAACAGGGAAGTGAAATTGGAATGATTTGAACATCCTGAATTTAAGCTGATGCATTCTCCTGCAGCTTCTCCTGAACTGAATGTTTGAATTCCCACCAAATCTTGCCTGGGTGCTTTATTTCCACTTTAAATACCACTTACTGTGCATTGCTGTGTGATGCCTGCACAGCACTATAGGAAATATTTTCCTGGTGGATTTTATTCTGTGAGGAAGGAGGTGCTGGTGGTTTATTTACTGTGCATTGCTGTGTGATGCCTGCACAGCACTATAGGAAATATTTTCCTGGTGGATTTTATTCTGTGAGGAAGGAGGTGCTGGTGGTTTATTTACTGTGCATTGCTGTGTGATGCCTGCACAGCACTATAGGAAATATTTTCCTGGTGGATTTTATTCTGTGAGGAAGGAGGTGCTGGTGGTTTTATTTTGTGTGTGTGCACTGCAAATGTAACCTGCTGGGCTGGAAATGGGATTGCTTGCTTTTATAAAGGCTGATTCTCATGAAATTTTATGGACTATCTGAAATTTAAAGAGATTTCTAAAGCAGGCAGTGCTCTCAGGCTCAGTTTGGAGGAGGAATGGTGTGAGGGAAACCAAAGAAGCACAGCAGTGTCCCCGTGTTGTGACCTGTGCCTGTCCTTGTGTCCCCACAGCTGGTTCCTATGTAGCTCTCACTGTCCAGGGGCGCCCTCCAGGGTCGCCCCAGATTCCCTTGGCGGATTCTGACGTGGATCTGGCAGCTTTTGGGCATATGTCTCCCATCATGGCATCCCCCCACTCGCCTGGCACGTCAGGGAATGCAGAAAGGATCACCAGCCCAGTGCTCATGGGGGTAAGGCTTGGAGCTCTCTTCCCAAAAGGGGAAATGGAGCCGGGTGGTTTTGGTCTGAATTTTATTTTTTTTTTTGTACTTCAGATTAGCTTTGGGATATTTATCCTGTCTGTGGGTATTTGTTCACTTATGAAAAAGCATATGCATTCCTATCTTGCTGGGACAAATCATATAAATAATAATATTTTTAATATACAAATATATACATATGTATTTTTATATACATATATATATTTACATTTTATATATAAGTATATATATACACATATATATGTATATATATACAAATGATATATGTATTATTTGTGTATATATGTGTATACAGATAACAGAAATACAGGGTTTTGTACGGTTTTTATACAAAATTAAGAAAGAATACATGGTATAGGGTTGGAAATTTGAATTGCTTCTCACAGGGCTTTTCAGAGCCTGTTTTTAGGAAGTGGTGAAAAATGTACATGTCCATTTCCTCATTTGCCCAACAAACCCAACCTTAATCTCTCTGTACTTCCTAGGAGGAGAATAACATTGTCCACAACCAGAAGGTGGAGATTCTGAGGAAGATGCTCCAGAAGGAGCAGGAGAGGCTGCAGGTACTGGAGCTGTGCAGCTTGTAGAGCTGGGGGAAGTGATGCAAAGAGGGGTCGTTAATTTAATTTATTAGCAGAGCTGTGTAAAACAGACTCTGTGTAGCAGCTCCTTGGATGTGCAGGTGTTAATTTAAAAGGTACAAACAATTCTTTTGCAGGTCCTGCAGGAGGAGTACAGCCGGACCCCCTCCACCCGCCTGCTCAAGGAGATCCAGGAGGCAAAGAAACACATTCCTCAGCTGCAGGAGCAGCTGTCCAAGGCCACGGGCTGCTCCCAGGTAACACGGGCTCAGCCTGCTCTGGGAGTGCTCCCAGGCACAGTCCAGGGGGGTGATGGTGCTCTGGGTGATGCCTCAGGGTTTAGTTTTTATATTTTCTGATTTTCTGCTGCTTTAGTGTGTGGGTCTGGGTTCACATCAGGGGATGGTGAGCTCTGTGCACAGAGCAGGGACACAAAACAATTCCTGCTCCAGCTGGGCACCAAGGACAAATGATCCAAATCTCAGCCCAGGAGCACAAACCCCGTGGGCTGGAGAGAGAAAAACAAGCAGGATGGGACTGCAGGGGCTGCAGCTGGGGTTGGACACTGAACTGCAATGTGCACATGGAGCAGAGCTGAGCCCAGGGAGAGACCCCGGCAGCGCTCGTGCATTTTGGGACCATTTGGGTTCATCTTGGGTTCATTTTGGGACCATTTGGGTTCATCTCGGGTTCATTTTGGGACCATTTTGGTTCACCTTGGGTTCAATTTGGGACCATTTTGGTCCATCTTCGGTGCAGCCCTGGCTGGGCTCTGGTGCTGCCCAAGGTGCATCCATGGAGGAGATGCTTCTAACAAATCCCTGCTTTATTCTTTAACTCCTCCAGCCTCTATTCCAGCTCAGCCTTCCCAAGGCATCCTGGGCAAGCTGCAGTTGCTCAGACAGGCAGGCTGCACCCTCTGCAGCTGAGATTTGAAGTTGGCACTGTCAGCTTAATCAGGATGTGGAGTACATTTCACAGTGGGCTCTCATCTCTGAAATCCTGCTTTTAAGAACAAGTGCAAGCAATGATGTGTTTATTATCTGTCAGTGCAACCGAAAATACACCTATGAAGTCATTCTTGGAAGCTTTAAGCAATTTTGTTTTCACTTTTGAAAAGAAATTAATTTAGGCTGTGTCATTTTTCCCTTTCCCCTGTGTTAAAAGTGCTGAAAATTTGGTGTGGTTGTTTTCTCTTAGAAAAGCACTGCAGCCTTTTCTAGATAAATTAAGGTTTTATGAGTAATGTGAGCTGCTGGCTTTTGAAGGAGTTGATTTTTAAGGATAATCTTTTGAAATGTTCTGCTTTCATCTTTGCAGGATGGAGTCCTGTCCTCCAGGTCTGCGTCAGAGTCGCTGCAGATCAGCGAGGGGGAGGCAGAGAGTGGGGACAGTGGCAGCAAACTGGATTTCAGTGGTGACAGCCCCTCCAGACCCAACAGTGACATTGCTGATGTGAGTTTGGGGCAGCCCCAGGGCTTTGCTTCTCTCCCTCTTGCATTTGGGTGTCCTTGGCAGATTCTGTGTGTGTGCTGTCCTGTGCTTTACTGGAACAGGCTCCTCAGTGCTCACCAAAACCTTTTCCCTATAAAAACCTGGTTTATTAGACTGCTGTTAGAGACTGGGAGAGAATAAATTTGGGGGTTTTATCCAGGATTAGATTGTCCTGGCATTAATCCCTGTAACCAGACAAAGATGGATGCCAGCATGTTTCTCTAAATTAATTTGCCAGTTAGAGCATCTTTGGAAGGAATATTCCAACTGCAGCACCATGACTCAGACCCAGGCAGCTTGCCCTGAGAGTGGGGAAGAGCCTTCCTTCCACCAAATCAGCTTCAGTTCCTGCCTCCAGCAAAGGCTCGTGGTGTGCTCACTCATGATTTACCAATCTGTGTGCTCCTGTGCTCTCCCTTGGTGCCTCATCCTTAATTAAGACACTGTCTGATTAGTGCAGGGGAATTGAGACTCCCTGCTTGGATTTGGCCTAAGTTTGTTGATTAACTTAAGGAAGTGGGAGCTAAATTTGTCCCAGCAGTTGGAAGTGAAAGGGAGCTGGGTGAGATGGGAGCATCCACAACTCTGTTTTGAAACATTCCAAACCTGACCAGATCCCACTCAGTGTTTGTGTTTAATAAATTCACCAACAAAATTCATAATTATCTTCCCAATAATCATCACTGTCAGTATTGGAGGTGGTATTTGATCAGTGCAGGTGATTGGCACACCAAACATTCCAGCCTTTAATCCAGCTCTGAGAAAATTAAGAAGCAGGGATGAAAAAAACCTTTGGAAGTGGAAAGAGTTCTGCAGCTGGGAAAAAGCCAGCAGTGAGCAGTGGCCTGGCTGGAAAAACCTTTGGACACACTGAAGATGAGGCAGCAGCACGTGGGTTTTACAAATAAGGCTCTGCTGGGCTTCCTGAGCAGGAGGATTGCTGCTAGATGGACAAGAGAGCTGAACTGTGAGAAAAGGTGGAGAGAGCAAGGAAAAAGCCAAGGGCTGGGGATTTTACAGCTCTGCTGTTGCTCACTGTCACCAGATTTCTGACCAAAACTTCTGCATTCAGTTGAGTTTTGGGGTTTTTTTGTTTTACTGTGCATGTAGGACACAGATTTGACTCTGGTTTTTCACACCTCCTTTTCCTGTGAGAAAGGGGAAGTTTATGGCTGTTGTGGCTGACAAACTGCCCAGTGTGCCCAGTGCAGTTCTCCCTTCCCTGGATCTGCTGGTACTTACCAGAACTGAACTTCCCTCTTTCCCAGAGCCCTCGCAGTGGCCTGAAGGAGAGGATTTATCCAGATGAGAGCCCAGAAAAGGCTGAGCTTCAAGACACTGTGAGTACAAAACATCAAATGTCACAACAGCATCTCCTCTAGCAGGCCCATTCAAATCTTGCTGCTCTCCCCCACTTTGTAAATGGAGCATGCCTGAACTTTGCTTTAGAAAATAAAATGCAATTAAAGCAGTGCAGGGAAATTTAATTAGCTGAGTAAATGTTCATGGAGCTTAAGAGCAGGGCCATTTAGAGGTGAGAAATACCTGATCAGCAGTGAAACAGCTGGGCCTGGAGCAAGGAGGGCAGTTGCACATGTTTTATTCCTTGGGTCCAGCCCCTTTTTTTAGGATATTCCCTCATTTGGGGGCTGCCATTTCAAGTGGAGCTCAGCAGGAAGTGCAGAGCTGTCTGAACACATCATCATCCTTGGGATGACTCCTGGATTCTCCTTGCCCTCCTCCCAAAGCCACATTTCCCCCTGTGCAGGGATGGCACTGGGCACGTGCCAGGTGTGCTCCTGCTGCACCTGATCTGATGTTTGGGAGTGTTTGGATTTTGGGAGGGGGATCCAAGGTGGAGTTTTTGAAGAGTTAAATGATCAGAACATCGCCAAGTTTTCATTTGAGGGACAATCCCAAGGTTGTGCTTTTCTCCTTCTCTCCCCCAGGACTCCCAGTGCAGTGTTGGAAGTCCCCTGGCCCGAGTGGGGACTCAGATCATTGGAGCAGAGGATGATGATTTTGACACGGAGCAGGAGCAGGTGGGAATGACTTTTAGCCTTTTTTCCCCACCAACCACAATTCCCTTCCTCTGTTCCTCAACTGCTGAGTACTCCTTGTGTAGTGAAATAAGAATTTGGGAATTCCTGTTGTTGCTGATCTTTCCAAATAGAAATATTTGGGGAATTTATGACAATATCCATCTTTGAGTCTATTATCCAAACCTCAATTATTTATTTATTTAATTATTTAAATTATATATAATTAAATTATATAATTTTATAATTAGTAATACATTTATTTATTTATAATTGATTTCGTGTTCTTTATTTTTGTGTTAAACCCTGCATTCTTGTCACAGCAGCACAGCTAGCACCTATTTACTCTGCATTATTTTAGCTGTCCTTTCTCTTGCTCCTGACTAACCCAGATGTAATTCCCTGTCCCCTGCAGATCAATGGGCAGTGCAGCTGCTTCCAGAACATCGAGCTCCTGAAATCCCGCCCGGCTCACCTGGCTGTCCTCCTGCACCACGTGGTGTCCCAGTTTGACCCTGCAGCACTGGTGAGAAGCTCTGGAATTGTTTCCCTGGCTCACATTTTGGGGATCTTCATCAGAATTTAGCAGATCTTGTGTAGCACTCACTGCCATGCCCTGGCAAGGAGGGAAATGCAGATTCTGTGCAGGCCTGAGGGTGATAAATCCACATTTATTTCCTCAGATGAAGGGAGAAACACAAAGAGAATTGTTCCTGTTACATTTGGCTGCTTACAAATAATTATTTAGCTCCTGAAAGCCTCTCATTCCACCCCAAGGTGTGGGATCAGTTGTCTGCAGGGAAGCTTTGACCTCTCTGTGCTCTTCCAGCCCCTTCCCTCTCCCCCCATTGCCAGGGCACCTCCCTGAGGAGCTGGGAAAGCTTTCAACCCAGCACTGCTGAATTCCTTGAAACACTGCAAAGAAAACTTGGAGTTTTCATGGTTTTCACCTCATTTCTTGCCCTCCTGTTCCCCACAGCTGTGCTACCTTTACACAGACCTGTACAAACAGACCAACTCCAAAGAGACCCGGCGTGTTTTCCTGGAGTTTTACCAGTTTTTCCTGGACAGAGCTGCAGTAAGTGCCTCTTCTTTTCTTCATTTTTACACATCCAACAAGTTGACTTTGACCTTTCTCCTCTCACCTGAACTGTGAAAAACTAAGGGGGGTTAAAGCCCTCCAAAAGAAACAGTTTTAAAAATCAAAATCAGAATATTGTTTATAAAACGTAAAAATGTAATAAAAGTTTTAAGTATTTCTGTTGAAATGTTACCAGGGAATGAATGGCCTCAGGTGCCTGCTAACAAAGTAAATCCCAGGGGATTTGTTGTTGATAGGAGAAATAATTTAATGGTAGCTAAGCAAGTTCTGGCTCTTCTACGTTGCTTTTTAGTTAATAATTGCTGTGGGTATTGATGTGGCTGTTGCAGGGATTGGGAAATTTTATATCTCTGTTGGAAAGCTGAGAAAATTCTTTGCTGTCATGAACTAAACTTCCAGAAACTGCAGCAGAGCTTTATGTACCACATACTCATCTTAAATAATCCTGTGAATGATAATGTATTCATGGGAGTCTCCTCTTTTCAATCCAGCAGGTGCTCAGGTTGGATGATTTTAGCTTTTGAGGGAATTTCCTGGAGTGATTTGTGTGTTTTATTGGGGTGCTGGTTTCTCTGTGGGTTCTCCCAGCCTTTCTTTCCTTTTGCAGAACCTGAAAGTCCCAGTTCCAGAGGAAATCTCCTTGGAATTAGGTAGGGTGGGAGTGAAGGGTGGCTTAATTCATGGAAGTGACTTTATTGAAGTCATTTATTGAAGGTGGGGGCTGTTCCCAGAGGAATAATTGGTGAATTTTCTGCCTCAGACAGGAGGAGGCCAGAGCTCCTCCCTGAAGAGCTGCACCGCCAGTTCATCCAAACCATGCAGGATAAAGTCTGCCCAGAGGTTCAGAGGAACCTGGAAGATTTCAGGTACCAGGAGCTCTCTGTGGAGTTTCCTTTTCATTCGTATTTGATTTCAGTCAGTGTTCCAGTACAGGGAAACCTGAGGGAGATAAAATTCCTCTTGGCTGGATAGGAATATATCAGGAATACACCCTGTGGCCAATCCTTAAATCAAGTCATCAGCTGCAGTCCTAGAGCTTGGATTCTTCATTCCTGGAAGCTGTGTGAGGAAATGGCAGAGTATTTTTTCTTAGGTTTTGTTTGGTAAATCTCTTTACCGATTGTGTTTATAATCAGCTTATATATTTTTTTTCCTGTTCCTATTTTCCTTCCCTCTCCCCTTTGATCAGGGAATAATCCCCTTTACAGAGCTCAAGCTGCACCAAGGGAAATACAGGCTGGGTAGCAGGAAGAAGTTTTTTACAGAAAGGTGATAAAGTTCTGGAGGTGGTGCAGTCACCATCCCTGGGGGTGTTTAACAAAGCCTGGATGTGGCACTGGGCGCCAGGGTTGAGTTGAGCTGTTGGGGTGTTGTTACAGCAGGTCAGGACTGGGTGATAAGTGGTATAGACTTCATGCATTTATAGAAAGTTAATAATACTTTATTAGGAGAAAACCATAGTTTTTTATACCTTAGTTTGCTATAGGTGGACTTGATGGGTCCTTTAATTAAAACACCATCACCACTGGCAAATTAAGAAACTCCTCTTTGGTAAACAAATCTCTACAACACATTCTACAAGTTCAAAATAACAGGTGCAGCAAGTTAAGATAAGAATTGTTTCTTATTCTTTTCCCTGATTTTCTCACAGCCTTTCCCAGAGCAATGCCTGGGAAAGTTGTGTGACCAGAGAGCTGCTCTGACAGTTGGGGCTGAGTTGGATTTGATGATTTTGAAGCTCTCTTCGAACCTGGTGATTCTGTGAATTCTGTGATTCTGTGAGCTCTCACAGGCATGGAGTAGAAGTTGATAATTAATTTGCTTTTTCATGTGCTAAGAGCTCCAAGCCAAGCTCAGCAATGAACTATTTCACCCTAAAAACCTCACGTAGATCCCTCAAACACCCCAAGAACCCCTCTGTGATGACACCCTGAGTGCCACAGGGCAATCCCCAGCCGCAGGTGATGCTCCCTGTGCCCTGTTGCAGGCAGAAGAGGAGCATGGGGCTGACCCTGGCCGAGGGGGAGCTGAGCAGGCTGGACGCAGAGCGGCTCCGCGACCGCAACGCCGTGGAGAAGGAGAGGAGCTGTGCAGAGCAGATCCTGGCCAAAATCGAGGAGGTCCTGTAAGTCACACCAAATGGGAAGGTGGGGGGAAGAAAATAACCTTCAAGGTGCTGCCTCAGCACCTTAAAGGTGCTTCCCTCATCCTGGGAAAGGCAGGATGGAGGAATTGGGGAGCGGGATTTGGTGTCAGTGTCTGGAGATTTCTGCCCCGAGTGTGGGTTGGGGTGGTGACAGCAGGGCTGAGGCAGGAGGGAAGGGAAGGCTGTTTTGTCCAGGAGGCTGCTGTGAAATGCTGCCATTGTCAGCCTGTGCATTATTAGATCAGAGCCCTTTTCCTGTAGGAAACAACAGCTTCACAACTCATTTTCTCCTTTTTAATGTGGGCTGAATCCAATTTCCACAGCCTAACCTTCACTTTTGATTCTTGATTTTATTTTTTTTCCCCTGCTGGGAGTGCTGAACATTCTAAAGGACACTTCAACACAACTACTGATGCTCTGGGTGGATGGGACCGGGTGTTAATTGGGTTTTGAGTTTCATTTTAAAACCCTTTATTGTTTTTAGGATGACATCTCAGCCTCTGGAAGAAGACAAGAGGTAATGGGAGCTGGGCAGCTCGGGCTGTGTTGTGCTGATGGAACACGACAGCCCTCTCCCGGCTGTTCTCCAAACTCCTGCATCCCCTGGCACAAATCATTGGAATTCAGAGCACCAGCCTCTTCTTTGCTGATGTTTGTTGCCTGTGTTTCACATCTTAAAAATTACTGTCACTGAGAGTTTGTGTTTATTTTTGTTTTGTGTTGTAACTGCTTCAATCTGCTCTAACATTTATTTTCTGTGTGTGCCTTGTCCTGTTCAGTTTTTATCTGAGCAGCTTTTCCTCTGCTTTTTGCAGTCACCTTTTAGTGCTGCTTATTTCTACCATAACTCAAAGCCATAATGTGACATCAAATGTGGTTTTAGTGCAGAATTTTAGGACCTTCTGTGTAATTCTCAAAATTGTATTTTCACCTACTGGGCTTCTGTGCCTTTTATCGTGGAATGATTTGGGTTGGAAGGGGCCTTAAAGATGAATTAATTCCAACTCTTGCTTTGTTCAGGACACCTTCCACTGTGCCAGGTGCTCCAGCCTGGCCTTGGGCACTTCCAGGGATCCAGGGGCAGCCCCAGCTTCTCTGGGCACCCTGTGCCAGAGCCTCTCCGTCTATATATTCCATCTTTATTTACTGCATAGTTTACAAAACAATAAATTCTGTTGTTGCCTGAACCTCCCCATTATCTGTGGGAATTTATTTCTTTTCATCACTTGAATTTAAAAATGTACTTCTTAACAGAACCTTGGCACTTGACCTTAATTTGATTGACTCAGTGTATTTTCCCAATATCTTTTTCTTGAACCTCCCTGTTTTTGTGTTTGTTTGGCAGCTCCACGATGCAATATGTGATCCTCACCTACATGAAACACCTGGGAGTGAAAGTCAAAGAGCCTCGGAACCTGGAGCAGAAGCGGGGCCGCATCGGTTTCCTGCCAAAGATCAAGGTAGTGCTGCCCTGGCCACAGAGCAATTCAAACCCCAGTTTTGCAGGGAAAAAAGTTTAAAATGGGTATGATTTTTATCCTTCAAGAGGATCTGGGATTGCTGAGCTGCACAGCAAACCTAAGAGTTGAAATTGGGTTCTGCATCTGTTGGCAGAGGCGTGAATTGGAAATAATTGGAATTATTTCCTTTATCTCTACCCCTGAATTCACCTTGTTTTTGGCTGTTATTAAAACTTTGTGGGAGGAATATTTCAGAGAACACAGCCTTGAACCACAGGAGGGTCTCATTAAGGCTGCTGCCTTGTTTACTTCAATTTCTGCTGGAGAAACTTACCCAAACCCTCCTGGTTTGTGATGCAGGAGTGCTCTTCTCCCTGCCACCCCCACTTTTCCAGTTATATAATGAATATTTCCACCAAAATTTCATCCCTGTGGGTGTGATCCCTTGTTTCCCACAGCATGGGGGTGTATCTGGTCACAGTAGTTACTTATTTTCATCAACATTTCAGCTTCCTTTGAAATATTAAGAGAGTTTCAAGCAGTTCTGCACTAAGCAAAAAGGTGAAACAGTGTGAAACCAAAAAGGTGAAACAGTGTGAAACCTTTTTGAAGCTTTGTATCCTCTCCCTTCTGCAGCTTTGAAGAACTGATTAAAATCTCAGTAAACAGCTGGATTTGAAGCAGAGAGTGATGTTTGCTTTTCTTTTCCTGCAGCAAAGCATCAAGAAAGAGAAAGAAGGAGAGGAGAAGGGGAAGAGGAGAGGCTTCCCCAACATTCTGGGTCCCCCCAGGAGACCGAGCCGACACGACAGCAGTGCAAGTATGTCAGCCAGGAGCCCCTGCCAGCCTGAGAGCCACAGAACATCCCTGCTGCCTTCAAACATCCATGCCAGGGACCCTATTGCCCCCCAAAACCTCATCCCACCCATCCTGCCTCACCCAATCCCAGCCCTCCCAGTTTGGATCCCGCTTCTGCCAGTTCCCTCCCAAGCCTGTCTCACCCTGAGGGGCTGTGGAATTGAATTTTGGGGTAGGATTGAGGCATTTTGGGGTGGGATTGAGTGATTTCCAGTAGGGTTGAGTGATTTCCAGTAGGGTTGAGTGATTTCCAGTAGGATTGAGTGATTTTCTGTAGGATTGAGTGATTTTCAATATAATTGAGTGATTTTCAGTAGAACTGGGTGATTTCCAGTAGGATTGAGTGATTTCCAGTAGGATTGAGTGATTTTCAATAGAATTGAGTGATTTACTGTAGGATTGAGTGATTTTCAGTAGGATTGAGTGGTTTTCAATAGAATTGAATGATTTTCATTAGGACTGACTGATTTTCAGTAGGATTGAGTGATTTTAAACTTCTCATTAAAACCCAGCTTTGCAAACGCACAGACCCGTTTTGGTCCTGCGATGCTGCTTTGCTCAGCACTGAAAAGGTGGTTTCAGCAGGGTGATGATTCTTTCTGTCCAGTTGGCAGGGCCATGGAGATGCAGAAGCCCAGGCACCCCAAGCACTCACCCACAGCCTCTTCTGTGAGCCCAGAGCCCCCCGAGTCCAGCAAGATGCGGCAGAGCGGCTCCTCCAGCGATGGCACAGATGCCCCTTACCCCCCTGCCAACCCCATGTCCCCCCTGGCCATGGGGCCCTTTGCCTCTCCAGAGGGCAGCAAGGACAGTGACACAGGTAGGGTGGAATGGAGAGTGGTTAAAGGTCGTGCTGTGAACAGGATGTGCAGAGCACTGATGCAATGAGCTGGGCTAATTAGGCAATGCTTTGATGTCATTGGAGCTGCTCTTCCTCTCCTTAATCAGCTTTCCTCAATTAGGGAATCGTGCCACGAGCAGCAGTGGTTGTTAGTGGGTTCTGCCAGTGTGGCATTGGATCATCCAACAGGAAAAACCCAACGGGTGCCACCTGAAGCTTTTGTCACTGAGATTTGTTCTTACCACCCTGGGAATCGAGTTCCTCCAGCTCTGAAGCTGGAACTGAGGCTCTGGAGAGGCTGGGAGGTTCTCCAATGTCCTCTAACTTGGTTCCTCACCTTTCACATTTATCCTGTGTCCAGGTGTGAAGCAGCCTGGGGAAGCCCCACCTGCCAGTGACTCCATGGATGGCACCCCTCGCACACCCAACAACACCTTTGAGTTCCCATCTCCTTTGGAAAACCTGCAGGAGGAGGAGGGAGAGTCTGAGAGGTAACTCTGGCTGCTTGAGGGAGCCTTGAGAGAGAGTCAGGAAAGCTTGGAATGGGTTGGAAAAGATCTTTGTAGAGTGATCTTTGTCACTGTGGCAGTGGCTGCTGAAATTGAGTGCATAAAATGACAGTGACATTGTGTTAAATATTGTTGGGAGAATTAGGAAACTTTGGTCTGTGTCTCTGCTCTGATAGAAAACTGTCAGGAGAGGGTGTAGAATGCTCTGCTTTGCAGCTCAGACCACCATTCTGAAATCATTCAGGGCAGGGAGAAATTCAGGCACAAGCTTCCTAATGATTGCTTTCCTTCCTTGCAGGATGGTTGACATGGGAACGCCGAAGCCTTTTCGCAAGTGAGTGTGCTTAGAAATGTTTGAACTTGACTGAATTTGTTTGGATTTCAAATGGTTATGAAGCAGAATGCAGCAGTGCTCTTTGTTCTGAGGCAGCCCAGTTGTCTGCATGATCCCTTTTCTTGAAGAACACATGAAATCAGACACTGGCAGCTATTTGTAGGGCAGGTGGAGTGAGTCATATGCAAAAATACCCCTTTGATCTGTGAGTGAAGTGGAATGATTGCTGTATCCACTGATTTGAGTGGATGGGAGTTGGGTTAGGGAGTAGAGAGATCCCTATTTTCCTTTCCAACCTGTGTTGCTGGTGGTTCTGTACCTGCAGATAGACAGAGGCAAGAAACTGTAACCTGCCCTTTTCACTGCCTTGATATCTGACTGCACATGATTTGATCTGTGTCATTAAAAGGAGGGTTATGAAAACACTGTCAGAACAGTCAGTCTGTAAAGGGCAAAATTAGAGAATGTGCCCAGAGGTTCAGGCATCCAACAGCCCCCAGCTGGCAGGGACAGTGTATTCATAAAGCTGATGGATGTACTCAGCTTTTCCCTGAAATGGGAATTAACTCACTCATTTTCTCCTCCCATCAGGATGGACAGTGTTGGCTTTGCAGATGTGCAGAGTGAGGATGAGCTCTATGACTTCGACATGGACATGGACCCTCCCAACTGGCAGCAGCTTGTGAGCAGGGAGGTGCTGATGGGGCTCAAACCCTACGAAATCAAACGTCAGGAAGTGATAAATGGTGAGATGGAGGTTCTGTCCTACCTGGCCAAGCTCAGAGCTGAAACCTTCCCTGAGAGCTCTGAAGTTCTTAAAAAATTTACTATTAGGTTTTTTTTTTACTGATTTTGTGAAGTAGTGGCTGGAGAATTGCAGTACTTTTGGTTTGAAGAGTTTTTAAGTGTGAAAATCGTGCTTGTTACTGAGAAATAACCTGAGGTGAGATTGATCCAGTCCTTAGAGGAGAAATAAACAATATCAAGTGGTTATTAAATATTAAGGCACTGAAAGGCCAGATTTTTAATATGTTCTGTAAAAGCAAACAAGAAAAGCGTGGTTTTTTGGGAAGCAGGTGATGGAAATGCTGCTCCCAAACTTCAGCAGCTTTGAGCTGCAGCTCCTGCCTGGGTTTGTGAGCTCAGATCTGTTGGTTTGGGGTAAACGATGGAATTTCACAAACAATTCAAACGTGGAATTACAGCAGAGCCTGGAATATGAACCAGGAGGGGAAACGCTGCTGAGGGGCCTGCTCTGAGCTCCCCTGTGGGCTGCAATCCTGCTTTCCCTGTCCCCCCAGAGCTGTTCTACACGGAGCGAGCCCACGTGCGCACGCTGAAGGTCCTGCACAACGTCTTCTACCAGAGGGTCACCAGGGAGGGCATCCTCAGCTCCAGTGACAAGCGCAAAATCTTCTCCAACCTGGAGGACATCCTTGGGCTGCACGGTAGGAGCAGCTGGATGCTGGAATTTGGGCTTCCAGTGGCTGAGAAATTGAAGTAAACGGACCCAGCTTCACCCAACACTTGAGATGGAGCAGAATTCTTTAGGACACTGCCCTGGGCTTGTTTTTGCTCACACTTGTTCCACTTCTCATTCACAAAGATATTTTTATAAGGAATCATGTGTCCAGTGTTCCTTTTCCTTATCTGTGTTGATTCATACTTGATAAAAGGAGCAGTGAGCTTTATGGGCTTTATGGGTTTGAGGTGGTACAGTTGTTCCTGAAGTGAGCAGAAAACAGATTTATATTGATTTTTTTTGTTTCTGAAGGGTGGCCCTTCTTTGAGGTGGTACAGCTGTTCCTGAAGAGAGCAGAAAACAGATTTATATTGATTTTTTTGTTTCTGAAGGGTGGCCCTTCTTTGTTCTTTAAGGACAGGACTGCTCACAGTAGGAATTTCAGCCACTGAATCATCAGCTGTGTGGTTTTCTGCCTTCTGCATTATTCCTGTTTGTAGAAAAATGATATTGAGCCTCAGAAAAGATGAGTTTGGAATGGTTCTTAGGGGTCCTTTGAAGCCAGGTGAGACACAAGCTCAAAGGAGTTACATCCCATTTCATTAGATATCCTAAATTTATTAAGTTGCAGGATATTGTTTATTAGCTAATTAAAATTACTCCAAATCTGATCTTCTCCTGGAACAGCTGTTATGTCAAATGCTGAAAATTAAGCCAGCAATTTGACCACTATTAATAAAATTTGCTTTTTTTTCCTTGTTTTTTAGTTGCACTGAACGATCAGATGAAATCTGTCCGAAAAAGGAACGAGACTTCTGTCATTGGCCAAATTGGGGAAGATTTGCTCTCCTGGGTAAAATTCTTTTATATGTTTCTTATATTTGAAAATAATGTGTCATGGAATGACCAGTAGAGCCAGAGGTTGGAGGAGGCAATTCCCAGCAATGGGAACTGAAGGGCTGTGAGTTCTGGAGCCAAAACAGAGCTGGAGGATGAGGGGGGAAGGAAAGCAGGAAGAACTCAGAGGATTTTCATCTGACTGGAGATGAGAGTCATTTAAGGCACAAGAATAATATCCTTAAGATGTGTGGGTAGAATAGAAAGGTACTTTGAGTACATAAAGGTGAGAGTGGGATTTTGAGAAATGTAGTGGCACGATTTATTTCGGTAACATTGAAGTGTGAGCCTGGTGTTGCCTGTGGTGCACTTAAAAGATGGTTAGAAATACTGATTTCTAATCTTAGAATGTATAAATTTGGAGTTTATAGTGCTGCTGCAGGCTTTGCTTTTGAGATCTTTATGGAGAGATTTGGCTGCCCCATGCCTGGAAGTGTTCAAGGATGTTTTGGGGTAGTGGAAAGTGTCCCATGGTGGGGATGTGCTTTCAAATCCCCTTCAACACATGGGATTCTGTGATGTGGGAGGGATGGATTCTGGAGAACTGAAGAGTTTGAGATGTACACATCTCCTCTGGGAAGACAAAGCCTTAAACCAGGGCAGAAATGCCTCCTCATTTTTGTCAATAATTCCTTTGTTCCCTGGTGATCCCAGTCCTGTGTGGCTCTGCCTGCTGGGGGTGCCTTGTGCTGAGCTCCACCCTGTCTAAACTTGGCTTTTTTGGCTTTCTGGCACAGTTTAGTGGACCAGCAGAGGAGAAGCTGAAACTTGCCACTGCCACCTTCTGCAGCAACCAGCCCTTTGCCCTCGAGGTCATCAAGTCCCGCCAGAAGAAGGACTCGCGCTTCCAGACCTTCGTGCAGGTGGGTTTGCCACAGGGCTTGGAGTTTTCACCTCCAGGCTTTGAATTTTCTCCTCCAGGCCTTGAGTTTTTCACCATACTTTGAGTTTTCTCCTCCAGGCCTTGAGTTTTTCACCAAAACTCTGAGTTTTTTCCCCTAAGCTCTCAGTTTCTCCACCGGGCTTTTGAGTTTTTCTCCAATGGGCTTGTGAGTTTCTCCTTTAGGCTTTGAGTTTTCTCCACCAGACTTTTGTGTTTCTCCACCAAACTCTCAGTTTCTCCACCAGGCTTTGAGTTTTCTCCACCAGGCTTTTGTGTTTCTCCACCAAGCTCTCAGTTTCTCCACCAGGCTTTGAATTTTCTCCATCAAGCTTTGAGTTGTTTCCACCAGGCTTTTGAGTTTTTTCCCCTAAGCTCTCAGTTTCTCCACCAGGCTTTGAGTTTTCTCCATCAGGCTTTGAGTTTTTCACCATCAGGCTTTGAATTTTCTCCACCAGGCTTTGGAGTTTTTCCTCTAGGCTTTGAGTTTTCTCCTTCAGGCTTTGGAATTTTCTCCACCAGGCTTTGGAGATTTCTCCTCCAGGCTTTGGAATTTTCTCCACCAGGCTTTTAAGTTGCCTCAGCACAGCCCAATGAATCCTCCTAGATAAAGTTCTGGTAATTAATAACATTAATTAATGACGTCATGGCTAAGGCTGCCTTCAGCTGGGGACATGTATTTATCTCTCCTGATGGTTTCTGGAGGGAGGAGCCTTCAGTTCTGTGGAACACAGAGTGTCCTGATGGAATGCAGGGCAGCGCAGTGTCCCAGGCAGGAGTGTCCCATCTCCCTCGAGGTGGCTGCTGCCCAAGGATGCCAAATTCTGTGGGGCAGAGTGCTCAGAGTGTCAGGAGGAGGAGACAGATGCTGCACAGCTGCTCTGCCTGCCAGCAGTGGGCTTTGGGTCCATGTGGCATTTGCTGGAGAGCATCATCTCCATCAGCACGGGCTGGGAGGAGCTCTGGGAGTACAGGGGGAGATGATCTTGACAAATATCCTGTGTTTTGCTGCGGTGTGAAAAGCCCAGACTGATGTGTTCCCTGGGAGCTGCTGACTGAGATGGATTGGGGCTGGGCCCATGCCCATGGGGAGTAATGAGGGGAGGAAGGCACTGCTGCTGTGATGAGCTTTTCCTCTGGGTAATTGCAGATGGAGAGGGGATGTGTTGTCTGGGTGATAGATCTTGGCATCTCTTGTCTTGTATTTAATTACTGGAAAGTGAAGTAATAGATGTTTAAGTGATGAATAGATGTTGTGCATTCAGGTAATTATGGCCTTAATAAAAATGACAAATGCAGATATTGTGCTGTTGAAATTTAGGATGCTGAGAGCAATCCCCTGTGCCGGCGGCTGCAGCTCAAGGATATCATCCCCACAGAGATGCAGAGGTTGACTAAATACCCCCTTCTGCTGGATAACATTGCTAAATACACAGGTAAAGCCTTGCCACTGGGATTTGGGCACCCATCTCAGCAGGTTTTTTAGGTAAATGTGTTAAATAGCACTTCAATTTTATGTGTCTCTGTTTTCATTGCAACCTCACTGCTGCTTTCTGCACAGGAGGTGTAAAAAATAATAATAATAAAAAGAAAAATCCAGTGTTCGTTCCTCCTTAGGAAAATAAAAAGGAAATTCAGTGTGAAATAAGTGAATTTATCAAACCTCTAAAGCAGCACAGAACGTCCTCATGCTCTTGCAGAGGGTGGGGTTTAATTAGGATGTGTTACACTGAAAGATACTTCCAGCACAACAGGTAAAAATGTGATAAATAATGGCACAAAATGCCTTCCCAGCTTTACTATCTGATACCTGCTGCAGGGTAATTTCATTACTCATAAAAATAGACTGCAGCTACAAGTTCCCTCTAATCCTAATTAGGAAAGCGTGTGATACTCCATTATCTTTGATGTACTGGTTGATGTTCCTGTTAAGTGAATTCTCAGTGTGGCTGAGAATTGATGGGTTCACCTGTGCCTGTACTCTCAGTAAGGATTTTAGTAGGGATTTTAGGTTTCCCACATTATTGTGAGTTGTAACAAGGCCCTAAAAAAGGGAGAGTCACAATTGTATTGTGTGTAATGATGTGCAGGTCACAATCAATTCTCTCCTGTCACAAATCTCATTTTTATCACTGTTACATTGCTTTTGTTGATGACTTCTCTGGGAGTTTAACTCCTCTTTGTCCAGTTTGAGATCAGCAGACTGCACTGCAGGGCTGCCTGGCCAAAGCTGTGCTGGAAGCACTTTCCCACTCCGTGTTCTTCTTGCAGAGCTGCCTGAGGAGAAGGAGAAAGTCAAGAAAGCAGCAGATCACTGCCGCCAGATCCTCAACCACGTGAACCAGGCTGTCAAAGAGTCGGAGAACAAACAGGTGGGAGGCCCAGAGTGAACACCCAGGGCTGGGCACGGCAGTAAAGCTGCACTCTGGGCAGTTTTGCTGCTCCAGGTGACCATTCCCTTGCATTTCCTGCAGCACCTGGAGGATTATCAGCGGCGACTCGACCTCTCCTACTTGAAGCAGTCAGAGGATCCCATGATGGATGAGTTCAGGTCAGACTGCACTGCAGGGCTGCCTGGCCAAAGCTGTGCTGGAAGCACTTTCCCACTCCGTGTTCTTCTTGCAGAGCTGCCTGAGGAGAAGGAGAAAGTCAAGAAAGCAGCAGATCACTGCCGCCAGATCCTCAACCACGTGAACCAGGCTGTCAAAGAGTCGGAGAACAAACAGGTGGGAGGCCCAGAGTGAACACCCAGGGCTGGGCACGGCAGTAAAGCTGCACTCTGGGCAGTTTTGCTGCTCCAGGTGACCATTCCCTTGCATTTCCTGCAGCACCTGGAGGATTATCAGCGGCGACTCGACCTCTCCTACTTGAAGCAGTCAGAGGATCCCATGATGGATGAGTTCAGGGTGAGTGGGAGCATCAAAACCAGCCCTGGGTGAATGGAGTTTGCAGCCCCATCGTTCACTTTGTGCTTCTTGTGGTGCACAATCAAGTGGTCTTTGGAGATAAATAATTCTGTATGAAAATGAAAACAGTTAGTCTCAGAAATGTGAGTTTTGCCACTTTCCTGAAGATTTCTGTGGCTCTAACAGCTCAGCTCTGCACATCATGGTGCTGATGAAGCTTGTCAGCTCTGTGCAACAAACCTTTATGGCCTACAAGCTCAAGCACTGTGTCCCAGAAGAGATATATCTGGTGGATAATGAGATTATTGTGGGTATTTATCTCATATGAGTGCATGTTGTTGGAACTGGGGAGACCTTGGAGAGCCCTGAGGTGTAACAGTGGAATTGGCTTTAAAAGGAGAGCATGTACAAAAACGTGGGAGATCCACAGAGCCAAATAAAACCTGAAGTCCAGTATTAAAAATACTCAGTTCCATGGCTCCTGTAAATCCCTGCAGTTCTGTTGGAAGCTGGTTACCTGCTGGTTGCTTCCCCATCTCCCTCAAAGTCAGTGTGACTCAAAAAACCCCAACTTTTTTATAAAACTGTGTCATGTATCCTTCCCCAAATAAACTTGCAAGCATTCAGCAAGGGGAGGAAGAACTTCTGGCAGCTACGAAATCTCGCTGTCATTGATTGCAGACTCTGAGACTTGGAAGGGATGAATTGTGAAAATTGTCACTTCTGCTTGCCTGCAGATCTAAATGTCACAAGCACTGAAGTGCCTGAAGAATCCATTGACATTACAAAGCCTGTCAGATCGTTGGGATGATTTGTAAATAATTTGTAGGCACACTTGACTTGCAAATCGAGTGCTGCAGCATTAATCAGTTGTAATGCTAGAGCTGAATATGGGGGATTGGAAAAACTCCTCCTAGGAAGCAGGTGACATCCTCATGCCCCAGGAGCTTGACTTGGAGGGAGAATTTTCCACTCTGTGGCACTTGGCATGTGGAAAAGAGCAGTGGAAGGGGAGAAGTGATAAACAGCATCTCTGACAAGATTTTGGGTTCCCTGCTCCATGTTTCTTTTCCCAGCCTGGGTTCAGCTGCTTAGCTCCAAACTGGAGTCCCTCTGGCATTGCTGTGTTTTATTTCCTGTGTTTCCTTCCATGGAAATGTCATTTTTTTTCTTTCCTTTGGTGACAGAACCTGGATCTAACAAAGAGAAAGATGCTCCATGAAGGGCCCTTGACCTGGAAGGTGAATCGTGACAAAACCATCGGTGAGTCTGGGCCATCCCCCATCCCCTGGCTCTGGGTGAGTTTGCTGGGAAGGAGAGGAGGGAAAAGCTCTGCTGCAGCTCCCAATTATGCTTCTTACTGCCACCTCTAATAATGCCTGTGTGCTTCTCTGAGCTGATTAAATTATTCTTGTCAATTCTGAAATGTGCTGGAGTATCATTAGGGCCACGCAGGGACACAGCAGTCAGTCATGAGCTGATCCAGTTCCATCTGTAGCTTTCTGCTGGAGTTTTCACCAGGAAGATTTGCAAGCTTTGCCTGGAATGGCACAGCACTGATTGCTGCCTCTGCATGAGTAATCAGAAATGCAGTTTTTCTGCTTTCTGATGGGAATGGTTTTAACTCATTCTGGGCTTTTTTTTTTGCATTCTGGCTAGATCTGTACACTCTGCTGCTGGAGGACATCCTGGTGCTGCTGCAGAAACAAGATGACAAACTGGTGCTGAAGTGCCACAGCAAGATCCTGGCATCCACAGCTGACAGCAAGCACACCTTCAGCCCCATCATCAAACTCAACACTGTGCTGGTTCGCCAGGTGGCCACAGGTCAGTGCAGCCCACTGAGAAAGCAAAAAGAGAAGCCAAAAATAAAGATTAGCTCAGTTGAGGAAGATGATTTTGTGTAGATTTTCAGAGCAGAACATGGAAAACTGCGTAGGCTTAATTCTTGGTTGTCCAACATCGTGCTTAGTATGGATGAGCTGTTTAACTTCTTTGCATCAGTAATAGGCATTTGCTTGAGTTTTAAATAGACTTCTAAATGAAAGTACTCTGATTGTGTTAGAGGAAAAGCACTCTGGAAATTATTAGAAGGGAAAAGAGGAGAAATGGAGCTTTTTCAAAATGGGTTTTTTCCTCTGAGGGCACATTTCTTTGATAGGACAAGGTCAGTGTTTCTGTATTAGCGTTGGAAAGTTATCTCACGGACTTTTTCCTGGCTTTGGGCTGGGGTTATGTAGGAGTTTTTGGGCAGCTGTTTCAGTTCCCTTCCCTGTGTTGGTGCAGATAACAAAGCTTTCTTCGTCATCTCCATGTCGGCGACGGGGGCTCACATCTACGAGCTGGTGGCACAGACTGTCTCAGAGAAGAATGTGTAAGTCCTGGGGTCAATCCAGCTGCTGCTGGCTTTGCTCTACCTATGACACCTTTTACCCCATGAATTCCCTGAGTTTCTTCTCTAAATTCAGCTGGAAATCTTGTGGTCTCTGTAAGAAGCAGCCACGGATAGTCCCTCCTAGCTGGCTCACTCCACACCCCTTCCTGACCTCCAAAATGTTTTTATTTACCTTTAAAAATCTGGTTTTTTGGGCCTGACTGCCAGATCAGACACAGAAATAATCCTGCATCTTCATGCAGCACCAGAGATCTTTGCAGATTTACATTCTGGCATCATAAACACCCCACTGCAGGAATTGGATTCCGTGCCTAAAAGCTTCATTGGGAAAAACTCTTTTGTCCTAAGAAATACCCAGGGATAGATGTGTTCATGGGATACATCCTGTTGTTGCATCTATGCACTTCAGTGATGTGGGAAATAATGCTTTTCATGTATTTATATATCAATTAACTGGTTGATCTGACGAGTGATAAGGTCCTGTCTGTCATTTCTGTCTGCTGAAGAGCATCCAGGAGAGCTGAGCTTTCTGCTGTGGTGATTTCAGGGTGTTCCTGGGGGCTGAATGTAACAGAACTTTAAAAAAAAGACATTTCTTTTTGGTAAAAAAAGCAGTAATAATATCAACTGGGTTTAAGAGGATTAAATAGAGAAATGCTCATTGTGCTTCACTTGCTGCATGGTTTTATTTGCTGTTTCTGCTGCAGCTGGCAGGACCTCATAGCTCAGATGGCAGGAACTGTGAAGATGGGCAGCAGCAGAAGAGTGATCCCACTGCCTCAGTCAGGCCCTGGCGAGTAAGTCAAAGCTGCAGGAGGAAGAAAAGCTGATTTTTCTTTCTCCAGCACCTCTTTTCCTGCTTACAAATTGCCCTCCAAAGCATTCTGCTGCAGATGAACCTGACTGAAAGGATGTGTTTGTTCCCTCTCTGCAGAGAGGAGCGTGAGGAAGAGGAGCAGCAGAAGCTGAAAGAGCAGCATGACATTCCTGCCAGCAGCCTGCAAAGTCCAGGTAGAGCAGGGATTCAGGGGAGTGGAGCAGGAGATTTGCTCCACAGAGTGCAGATGTGCCCAGCCACAGCCCTGGGGGATTGGGGACCCTAGGGCAGCTTGGAGATTTTCCTGGAAAGGGATGATTTCTTTACAAGTCATTCAGAAAAGTGACGCTGAACCTCTTGGAAATGCACCTTTTACTGTTCCCATCTGATTTATAAACTGCTGGAGAGTCTTTTTTAACCCTGGAAAGAGCTGGCCTTGTAGCAAAGCCAAGCTGAAGAATCTTAGTGTTTCCAGAGTGGAATTTTCTGCAGTTTTATCATCGTTATTTCACCTGAATTTTTGTTTTCTCTCTTCTAGATAAAGATTTGGGCCTGGAGTCTCCCTTGATACTGAACCCTCAGTCCTCTTCACCCATCATGTCTGAGAAGGCCAAGGTGGAGGGGCTGCTGGGGGCTGAGGGGCAGTTTGAGAAGGTGCAGCAGGCAGAGCTGGCACTGAAGGACTCCTCTGCCTGCTTTGAACACCCAGCCAGCAGCTCAGCCTCACTGCCAGAGGGGCAGTGGGCACGGGATGCCCTGAGGAACTGTGAGTACCACCCTGGGGTGGCCTTTGGAGGTGGAATTTGGTCAAAGAGCCCATTTCCATTCATGATCCATCCCCTGGGCTGGATGTGACAGCAAGTTCTGAATCCATGTACTGCCCCTTCCTTGGGCTTTAGGCATCTCCTGGTTTTTCTGGGGTTTTCTCTATCAAATGAGGGTGATCATGAATTTCTACCATCCATGGAGTGCTTTGATGGCAGAATTATATTGCAGAACCTAGTGCACAGTGCCACTGCTGGTCAGCAGTTTTTAAAGACAAGGCAGTCAGCCCTGGCTTATTTCTGTAGCACTGGAGCAGAACTGGAGAGGTTGCTGGTGTTGCAGAATACAATTTTCCTTTTTTTTTTTCTGTAAAATCCTGCAAACTGTTAAGCTCACTTATATCCAGACTCAGATTTCTGAGTACTTGGGAGGTGATTGGGTCTAATTGGATCAACACTTGTGTGTGTTGAGAAGTTTTCCTAATGGACAAATCATTGTTTGAAATTGTTTTTAAGGTTTTTAGTCACTTCCTCTGCTCTCAGAGGAGGAATGCAGGGCTCTGCAACCTGCTGGATCAGCTCTGGCAGTGCAACTCCTAAATAGAACTCCCTAAAATTTGAATGAATTCATTAATCCAGAGATCTCTCCTTGGCAGCTCTGGAAGGGACACAAAGTCCCTCAGTTGTACTTGGAGGGAAGAGCCTGTGGAATATTTGCTTTTACCAAAATGCAGAACTCTCTCTCACATCCTTGGCCCCAGTTGCCTTTTCCATCTCTCTGTCCAAGCAATGACAGTTCTCTGCAGTCTCAGAGTTATCTCAGCCCTTTAATTCCATTTATTCTCCTTCTTAGAGGATTTAAAGTTCTTTTCTAGTTCTGAATATTGGACAGATATTCTTGGTACTTGTTTTAAGAGACCACAGCTAAAATAATCTTAGTCTGGGGGTGTGTAAGGACACTTTTAGTGACCCTGCAGCATCTCCTGAGTGTTGAGAGTTAAAAGAGCAGCTCTCCAACATTGTGACAAGAGCCTGAGCTGAGTGACAGCTCTGCTGTGTGACATCACTGCTTTTTTTGGGTGCTGCAGGAGCATTTTGTGGTGAGGAGGAACAATCTGGGGCTCTTGACAGCAGCACGTTTTTGTTTGGAACAATATGTCCCTATTATGAAGTGTTTGGTTGGGATAATTTGGGAACTAAAGGAATGTGGGTTGAAGTTCAACCAGGCATAAATTTGCATTGAATTTTAGGGAAAATGTTTCTTAGATTTTTTTTGTCCTTTTTTTTTTTTTGCTGACATTTCAAACCTGAGTGGAATATTCCCAATTTCCTTGAGGTGGGAATCCCCTGCTATAACCACAGCTGTGAGCTCCTGTGCAGGGTGAAACCCAGGCACTCAGGATAATTTATTTTACAATTTTCTTGGAGAGAATTTCTTTGGTTTTCTCCAAGGAGATGCAACTTGTCTTGACATATTTTAGGGTAAAACAGGGGAGTGAGGCTGGAGCCTTTAAAACATTTATTTTTATCCCTGTTTTTCCAGCCAAGAGCAAGGAGTCACACCTCTGTCAGAGGGTGACCTTTGTGTCTGCTTTAATCCCTTCTGTGCTCTGTGAGCCTTGCCTGCATTTGTCAGGTGCCATTAGTGCAAGAGCAGGATTTCCAGACATTATGATAGAAACAGATTTTGGGCAAGCAGGAAGGGAGCTGATGAGCTCACAGAATATCCTGAGCTGGAGAGGAGCCAGAAGGAATTTTAGGGAAAATGCTTCTTAGCTTTTTTTCCTTTTTTTTTTTTGCTGTCATTTCAAACCTGTGCGGAATATTCCCAATTTCCTTGAGGTGGGAATCCCCTGCTATAACCACAGCTGTGAGCCCCTTTGCAGGGTCGAATTTGAGTCATTTTGTCACTTGGAGTGCAAATCCTGTCCCGTTCCCCTCATCCTGGAGCTGTTTGCTGACCCTTGCCTGTCCTTGCAGTGGGGCTGCTGAAGCAGCTCTTGGTGCAGCAGCTGGGCCTGGCAGAGAAGGGCACCCTGGAGGACAGACAGCGCTTGCCCAGGTTCAGGAGCGTGTCCCAGGAAGCCCAGACTGAGAGTGGCAACGAGCTGCAGCCCCCTGAGAGCAAATTGCAGCAGCCTGGAGAGGACAGAGCCCTTGGCAGAACTGCAGAGGCGGCGGGCGGGCACGGCGCCCGGACTGCAGCCGAGTGCCCGGCCTCAGGGGATGCCATGCAGCTGGTGGGCACCGAGCCCCCTGCCCGGGGCGCTTTGCCCATGGACAGCATGAACCTGGAGGGCTCCAGCTCGGAGCTGGAGGGGCTGGGGGCCGAGGAGAGCGGGGAGCATTTCTTCGATGCCCGGGAAGCTCACAGCGACGAGAACCCCGGCGAGAGCGAGCTGCTGGACAGGAAGGAGGAAGAGGAGGAGGAGGAGGAGGAAGAGGAGGAGGAGGAGGTGCAAATTCGGATCTCAGGTGAGCCTGGGGCTCTCCTTCAGCGGGTGATGGCCTGGCCAGGTCCTTTAACACTTCACTTTTTGCTTGACTGGGTAGGACAAGAGCTGCCAGCTCTCAGCAGGTCATTTTAGCCCTGTGCAAACATGGACCTGGTTCATTTTTCCTGTGCTGGAGGAGAAGCTGAAGTGCTGGGGACACACCCTGTGACAAACTGGAATTGCAGAGGCACCAGGCACAGGCCAAGCCCTCAGTTCTGGCCTGGACCACTTCATCTCTCTACTGCCTAAAGGGAAAAGCTTTTCCCTGGAGGCAAAGCACTTTTTAAAGCCCTTTTCCTGATCAAGCTTCAGGAAAGAAACTCGGAACTTTAATTTTACACTGTAATAGTCTCCTGTAACCTTACCACACTCTGAACCTCTGAAAAGTTTATTGTTTTATTAATTTTATTGTTATTGCTGCTCATGGACTATTTGACAGCTTCCTGAGCACACCAGACTCAGCACAGAAGCTGAGGTTTATCTCATGTGCATTTTCTACTAGAAGCAGCTGCTGTCAGGTGGGTTCAACACTGACAGCCACACAGAAGTGCCTTATCCATAAATATGCTCTTATTTAAAAATTGGATTATATCCACGTGGATAAGCCAATTTATGACTGCCCCAATGCTGCTTTCCAACTACACAGTGCAAATAACTTTTCTCACTGAGACATTTTAAATTATTAAAACTGAGCCAACAACTTGAAGCATCTAATTTATTTGTCACCTCTTCCACTGTTTACTTTTTTAACTGTATGGGGACATCAGAATGAGATTGATCTGTTTTTAGTCAATTCTGAGTCCCCTGTGCTGGCTTTGCCTGTGCTATTATGGAAAAATTCATTAAATGGACTCCTCTTTCTGGGTGCAGGTTGTGAAAACATTTTCTGTCTGTAATTACTTTACATTTTAGCATATCAGCAAGCTCTGCTTTAAACCTCACCCATCTAAAAGCATCCTAAGTGCCAGGGCTGGGGAGTGGAGTTTGGGGATCCAGCAGCTGCGTTTGTCAGGTGCCATGAGTGCAAAAGCAGGAATTTCAGATAATATCATAGAAATTGTCATCCTTTCCTGCGTGCCCAAAATCTCTGATATGATAATATAATAATATCATCATATCAGAGATTTTGGGCAAGCAGGGAAGGATGAGCTGACAGAATATCCTGAGCTGGACAGGAGCCAGAAGGATCATTGGGCCCAGGTGCTGTCCATTTAATTATGGCCTTTTTAAATGTACAGTCTAAAAACCATCCCTGATCTCTGAGCCTGTGCAGAACCAGCTGAGTCTGACAGCACCACTAATCTTCGGGGTGTTCCCAAATGGTTTTTCTCAGGAGATGAGCTGTGGGACATCCCCTCTAAAAATCTGCTCAAACCCCCCTGAGCCCTGAAGCTTCTTGGGAGTGGTTGAGTCAAAGCCCATTGTCTCTGCAGGGAATTATTTGATTTTTCTCAGGAGATGGGCTGTGGGATTTCTTTTCTCAGCAGATGGGCTGTGGGACATCCTCAGTAAAAATTTGCTCAGACCTCCCTGAGCCCTGAAACTTTTTGGGGACGGTTGAGTCAAACACTGTTGTCTCTGCAGGAAATGATTTGATTTTTCTCAGGAGATGGGCTGTGGGATTTCTTTTCTCAGCAGATGGGCTGTGGGACCTCTTTTCTCAGCAGATGGGCTGTGGGACACCCCTCTTCTGTCTGTTAAACTCTGCTCCAGCCCCGCTGAGCCCTGGAGCTCCAATCCCCGCTGTCCCCGCAGGAAATTATTTGATCCTCGATGGATACGGAACAGTGCAGGAGAGCTCCACGGACGAGGAGGTGTCAGCCCTGGTCCTGCAGTGCACCTCCCACAGGCAGCCCCCCCTGGAGTGTCCCCAGCAGCAGCAGCAGTGTCCCCTGTCCCCCAGGGACGCCCGGTCGGACGGGGGCAGCTCGCCCTTCCCCGAGGAGCTGCGCTGGGCAGGGCTGGAGGAGCCCTGTCCCTTCCTGGGCAGCCCCCAGCTCCCTCTGCAGACCCGAGTGCAGCTCATGCAGTACATCCACAACATCCAGGATGCCCTGGAGAAGCTAAAGGTCCGTTGCTTTTTGTTCTTCTTTACTACTATTATTATTATTGTTATTATTGTTATATTATTATTATTATTATTATTATTATTATTATTATTATTATTATTATTATTATTATTATTATTATTATTATTATTATTATTATTATTATTATTATTATTATTATTATTATTATTATTATTATTATTATTATTATTATTATTATTATTATTATTATTATTATTATTATTATTATTATTATTATTATATTATCATCATTGTTATTATCATTATTATCATTGTTGTTGCTGTTGTTGTAATTATTATTATTACACATAGAATGTTTGATGGTCACCTGAGCGTTCGATCGTTTCCGTACAGTTTTGGGTTAGAAAAAAAGCTTTAAAACTGTTTTGGTGGGCAAGCACACAGATTTCTCTTCACCTCTGGCTCTTGCTCCTGGAAGGCTGTTGTACTTGCAGGGAGGAATGATGAATCTGACTCCATGTTCTCAGAAGGCTGATTTATTACTTTATGGAACTATATTATATTAAAGAATATTGTACTATACTAAAGAATACAGCAAGGATACTTACAGAATGCTAAAAAGAGAATCATGAAAACTCCTGACTCTCCCCAGAGTCCTGACACAGCTTGGCAGTGATTGGCCAAGGAGTGAAAGCAGCTGAGTTTTGGGGCTGTTGTTGCTGTTTTGCAGGAGGTGGAGGAGGATTACAGCGTGCTGCGACGCCAGGGGCTGGCTGGCTCAGCCTCCACAGGAGAGCACTCAGGTAGGAGCCCAGAATCCAGCCCAGAGCACAAAGTCCAGGCTTTGGGCTACCCAAAAACAGAGGCCAGGCAGAACTAAGGGAATAAAAAGCAGTTCTGTTTATTGAAGGGCCTCCAGCTATATTTAGGGCAGACAAAACCCACCCAAAAATGGAGAATTAGTCACAGGTTTCACACTTTTATGAGTTTGGTCCATTTGCATTTTGGGGGTGAATCCCCCAATTCCAGCTTCAGCCAATGAAGTCATTGACCCCAAGTTTGCTCCCCCAACTCCCTTTTGTTCCCATCTCTCAGCCTGAGGCAGTGAGGTGTCCTTGATTGCCAGGCCTGGAGAGGAATTGTTGTGTCTGCCCCAAATGGGGAAGCAGCAGCTCCCACTGTGTGTGGAGTTTGGAGTTCTGCACTAAAGAACTGCAGGATCACAAATAGATGGAAAATATGAAATCCTGAGGGATCAGAGGTCCAGCTGGCCTTTCCCACATGCCCAGAAAAGGTTTCACCTCCTGGAGCAGCCCGGGCAGTGCTGCCTGCAGGAAAGGTCAGCTCCACCCCTGGAGGCTCAGCTGGGCTGGTTCCTGTTCTGGAAGGTTCTGTTCCAGCTGCCCCACACCTCCACCCCAGGGTGAACCCTCCAGGCAGGCCAGAGGGGTGGGAATCCCACAGGGGGGTTCCTGCAATGCTGAGCCTGGCTCTGCTTTGCCTGGGGGAAATTCCTCAGGTGGAATTGCAGAGCTCCTGGCCCAGGGCATCCCTCTCTCTCACCACCTTTTATTCCCCTTTTTTTCCCCTATTTTTCCCCTATTTTTCCCCCTTTTTCCCCCTTTTTTCCCCCTTCTTTTCCCCTTCTTTTCCCCTTTTTCTCCCTTTTTTCCCCATTTTTTTTCCCCTTTTTTCCCCTTTTTTTCCCCTTTCCAGACAAAAGCTAGTCGTGTTTCCAGGAGTGGCTGAAGATGGGATGAAGAGAATCAGGACACAGCACCCGCTGTCTCCCCTGTGGACTCTGGGATGAGGGTTTGGAGCATCCAAACAGGAACCATTCTCTAGCAAAGTGGGCATGGGGTGCTTTTCCTGTGGGGCATCTGCACTATCTTGTCAGTGAGGGAGTCTATTCTATTCTGCTCCTCTCCTTGCTACCAGAAATTCAATTTTTTTTTTTCAGAACAGGAAAAAAAAAAAAAACCAAACCAAATGTACAGAGCTTTGGGTGTAGGATATAAAAAAAATGTATTTAGACATTTAAAAGAAAAAAAAAATCAATGTATTTATTTGACTTCATTCCGTGTATCAAAAGCACATTTTAATTTTTTAATCTGCCTTTTTTTTTTGTTCTATTTTTGGGTAGTGACAGTTGTGGCCCACCCTGCCTGGTGAGGGGACAGGGGGGACCTGTGTGCAGGTGTTTCCTCACTGGACTGGACTCTGCACTCCCTGCTGGCACTCAGACTACCAAGAGCTACTCATGAAGGTGTTAGGATGGAATTTCTGGCTGGAATCTGTCTGTATCCAACCAGCTGCATGGGAATTGCTCATGTCACCACGTGTGGAACAGGAATTTTCCATGCACTAAACAGCCAGGCACTTGAGATGGGCAAATTTTCCTTTTCCCCTTTCCCATTCCTTTGCTGGGAGAGGAGAAAGAGATTTAATTTTGGTTTTTTTCTTCTTGACTTTGTTGGCTTTGATCATTGTCTCCTTTGTAAAGTGATAAAAAAAAATACTTGGACCTGCAGCACTTTTGTAACTCTTCTCTGGATCAAAAGAAAAAAAGAAAAAAAAAAAAAAAAAAAAAAAAGAAAAAATTTTTTTTTTGAAGTGTTTCAAAGATGTGGGGCAGCTGTGCCCCTGCTTCACTACTGAATGAAACAGGGCTGCCATGGAGTTAGCCACAGGTACTGCTGATTTTAGGGCCAGTAAGTTTTAGTACCTGGAGTATGTCTTGCTGAGGGCTCGGGGTGGCTTTGGGGTTGTTTTTTTTTGGGGGGTGGGGTTGTTTTTGTTGAATTTTTGCCTTTTTTTTTTTTTTTTTGGAACTCGTTGGTGCCAATGCGAGGGAGCTCAGTGACCTGAGGAGGCTGAGGCAGCTCTTGGGCACTTGCTCAGGCCTGCCCTGGCATTTGCAGCTGGGATTCCTGCCAGGGTGGGAGTGAGGGTGATCCTGGGCCCGTTTCCATTCATTCTCCATCCCCCCGTGCTGGATTTCACACAGGAGGGCTCTGACAGCGAGGAGCTCTGCATCCCTGCACTGCCCCTGCCTGGCCTTTAGGCATCTCCTGGCTTTTCTGGTTTTCTCTATCAGAGGAGGGTGAAAATGAATTTTTACTGTCCTGCTTGGCACAGGGTGGTTCAGGCTGTCCCCAGTGTCACGGGGCTGCCAGCTCTGTGAGGAACAAACCCTCCTCCCAAGGTTTAATCCCTTTAAGGGATCCAGACTGAGCATCCTGCACATCCCCTGGACACTCAGACCTTTGCTCAGCACCAGGATCCTCCTGCCCCTCTAAACCAATTTTTTTTAATGTTTTCCCTTTAGCTGCTGGCAAGAAATCCCCTCTGTCCCTTGTCAGAGAAATCCCAGCTCTTGTTTCTTCCCTCAGAATCCTGTGGGGTGTCAGAATCCTGTTCAGGTGGCAGGAGAGGGAGCAGAGGGGATTTTGGTGTGGGAGCCAGGAGCCCTTGCAGGGTTGTTTTTCCTCTTGGTTTTTCCTGTTGTTTTAGGAGCATCACCACTGCCAGCAGCAGCCAAAGGCTGCCAGGAGCTCCCTGGGTTTTTGGGATGCACCAAAGCCTGTCCTGTTGTGTGGGATTATTGTCAGTATTAACCCAGCACTCTTCTCCTCACCTCAGCCCCACAATTCCCCGGGTTATAAACATCCAAAATTCCTCCAGAACCCCCCAGCCTGGAATGCTGCCAGGAAGAGAACTGGAAAACAGCCAGACCTGGGCTTGGACCCTTTCCCCCTCACACTCCAAAACCAGGAGCAGTTGTTGTGACCTCAGTGATCCAGAGGGTTCCCAGAGGCTTCCGTGGAGCTCAGGCTGGCTTTGGAAGAATGTTCTGGAAGCACAGCAGAGCTGGGGCTTGGGGAGGCCTGGGTGTTCCTGCTCCTTGCTGGTGGTTGAGCACAAATTCCGGGGTCTGTGGTGGTCCCTGCTGTCACCCCTGGTGGTTGTGGCAGCAGTGAAAAGTGCAGCGAGTTTGTCAATTCACTTTTTTGCCTGCTGGGGTGGCTTTTACCCCAAAACCAGCTGTGTCCCTGTCACTCAGGGTGGATAAGGGACAGTCCCCCGCAGTGCCAGGCTGGCAGAGGAGCCATCAGGGCTTGGCAGAGATTTGGGAATGCTGGAGGAGCCTGGCTCTGGGTGACAGGAACCCCACTCTGCTGGCTGTGCTCCAGCTCTGGGCCACCTCACCAGCAGGGACGGTGCTGGGTCAGGGATCCCTCCACTGGGGGGACAGGGAATGCCTTCTTCCAGGAATTCCTTCCTCCAGGAATTCCTTTCTCCAGGAGTTCCCTTCTCCAGGAGTTCTTTTCTCCAGGAATTCCTTTCTCCAGGAGTTCTTTTCTCCAGGAATTCCTTTCTCCATGGAATTCCTTTCTCCAGGAGTTCTTTTCTCCAGGAGTTCCCTTCTCCAGGAGTTCCCTTCTCCAGGGAATTCCTTTCTCCAGGAATTCCTTCTCCCTCCCTGGCACGCCTGCAGCACCACAGACCTCGGGCTGGAGCTCAAATGCACTATTCAGGATTCCCACAGTTTTCTCCTCCTTTAAGCCATAATATTTCCCCTTATTTTAAAATGAATTTATCATTTTAGTTTGCCCCCCTGGGCATTCCCTTATCCAAACAGTTCTCTGGAGTTTTTTGTCCCAGCCCCTCGTCCCAAATTTTATTTTTTTTCCCCCCTTCCCAAACAGAACAAGGATTTTTTGGTTTGGGAACAAGGATGGGATGTAAGAACATCATCTGAGAGGTCATTTCCCTCCTGCTGTCCCCCAGCTCATGGACAAGCCAAAAGCTGAAGATGGAATTTTCTGGAGTGGGAATTCCCTTGTCCTGCAGAAGATCCCTGGTGGGAAGGGAGGGCTCAGAGGATGAGGAGTGCAACCCTCGGGAGCTCTCAGACAGCACCTGGCCTGTTCCAGCCTTTAAAATCCCATTTTCTGATTGATCTCTCCCTGCTATTAGATTGCATTCTCCTGGATCCAGAATTTTCTCCCTGCTCCCCAAAGAAATCCCTGGATTCCCTCCCCTTCCCCAAAGGTGCCAACTGACAAGCAGATGTACTGCAAAAGGGATACTGCAGCCAAAACACTGCTGTTTTATTTTGAATTAAGTCTTGTGGAGCTCTCTTCATACTAGAATATTTTTATTTTCTTTGTACAACATACAATCATGTACTCTTAACAGAGATTTACTTTAAAGAGAAGAAAAAAAAAAATCTGGAAGTATTCTTTAAAAAAAATACACAAAAATCTTTATTAATAATCCTGTATTTTTACTGATCATGTTTGAATGTCTAAAAAGACTTTATTGTTCTAATTATCCAGATGTATGTTTGTAAAATAGCTCTTTTATGACTTAGCTGATCAGGTTGTATGTTTCTGGAATTAAATATTGGTCACTTAAAAAAAAAAAAAAGAAATCTGTTTTCAGGACCTGGGAAATAGAAAATTTAAGCGTTTCAAATATCATTAAATAAGCTTAAAGGAAAATGAGCTTTGTCTGGTGGATTTTTTGGGGTGGTTTGGCTGGAATTCCTGGAGTGTTTAAAGGACAAATGATGGCAAAGGAAATTTTCCTTGGGGCCGATGAATTTTTCCAGAGATTGAAGTACCTTGATTGTATTTTTGCTGCTCAGAGTTAATGAATTATTAATTAATTAAGTAATTAATTGACAGAGCGCCCACTGCAGGGAAAGAAATCCCCCCTTGCTCCAAGCTGAGCTGACCCTTCAGGAATTCCCTGCAGGAATTGGAGCCTTGGTGTCCTGCACACGGGGCCCTCCTGGGATTGGAAAGGGAATTTCTGCCCTTTTGGAGGAATTTCTGCCTTTTTGAAGGAATTTCTGCCCTTTTGAAGGAATTTCTGCCCTTTTGAAGGAATTTCTGCTGGCCCTGGCCACAGGCAGCCATTTAATGAGTTCTGGAGAAGTTCAGAGGAGCTTCTCTGGCTGAGCTGATGTTGGGACACTTCAGCCTGAGCAGGGAGTTCTGCTCCCAATCCCAGATAATTTCTGGGTTATTTTCCTTTTAAATCCAACCAGAGCCATTATTCAGGTCAATTAATTGATTAATCCTGTTAATTTGTTGTTACTTTTTAAAGGGAATTTGTTCTGAAGGTTGGGAGTCATCTCTACAACCCTTCCCTGTGATGTTTCACCTCAGCATCCTACAAATATTTATTTGCATCCCCATTTTCCTGCTGGATCTTTTTCCCTCCGCTGGGACCGACCCAGAACTGTAAAAGAGAAGTGAAATTAAAACTCAGCTGTTGAGGAACCTGTGCATTTTGGAACAGGGAACATCTGTGCTCAGAGTTTGGTGATTTCTGAGCTGAGGCTGCTCTCCCTGAATCCCTGCCTTTAGTGACATTTTTGTCTTCACCTTCCCTGGAAGGTGATGATTCCTGACAAACTGGCAAAAATAAATGAACTAACAACCACACCAAAATAGAAAACAAATCTGCTTTATTCCTAAAAACTTGGGAGCTTTTCCTTTTTTTTTATTTTCCCTTCCCTGTCTGCATTATGAACATGAAGCTCCTTGAGAGATTTCTTTATTACTTTATTATAATTGGTAATCTGAGCTCTATTACACTTTCCTAATGATGCTCTTCGTGTTTTGCCTATTTAAATGTTATTTTATATATTCCCTTTACTGCCTTGCTGTAAATAAATGATTCAAAGACTCAGCAGCTCGGAGAAATCCAGCTGGGGGTGGGGAGAGCTGGGCTGCAGTTTTGGGGTTCTTCCACACCCACAATCCTGGGATTCATCTCTCCACAGGCAGGGGAGACACGAGGGGGATTCAGGGAGTGGTTGCAGGTGGGGTTTGGGTCATTTTTGGGTAATTTTGGGTCATTTTTTGGGTCATTTTGAGTCATTTTGGGGTTATAGGAGCTTTAAGGTCCCTTCCAACCCAAACCATTCCATGATCCAGGGGGTTCTCTGGGTGGCACTCTGTCCATCCACCTCCCTAAATGATGAAAAATAACTGTTTAATCCATTTTTTCTCTCAGCAAAGATCCCTTTGGTATTTGCTGAAAAAACCCATAATTTCCCCTTTTTTTGTCAACTCCTCAATGGATTTTAGGTTTTGTTCTTTCAAAATATTGATGGGAGGTTGGTGTAGGATGGAATTTGTCCAGTCCCTGGCACGAGTTCTTTGCCAGTTGGGCTGAGCATTTTGGGGGGAAATATTTCCCATCAGAGCCGGGCCCAGCACTCCCAGAATGGAAAAAAAAAAAATAAATTTGGATGTTTCCTTCAAAGTGTGATCCAAAATTAAATAGGAAAGAGCCTGGGGTTAACACTGAGCATATGCCTGGGTTAAAATGTTGGTTTGAGAAATGTTCCAACATTTTTAGACACCTGTTATTATTATTAATATTAAAAATTATATGTAAAATTTATATATATATATATTAAAAATACTATTATAAAAGGAGGATATGGGGAGTTTTTAGAAGGAGCCCAAAAGTTTTGATGCCACTTTCAGCTCCACCCTGGTGAGGTCAGGCAGTGAAAATAAAAGCTTTGTGAGGGGT